TGGGGGGGGGGGGAGTATTGGTGCGGGGGAGTAACGGTGCGGGGGAGTATCGGCATGACCCCTTTGAGGGGAGGCAGGTGTTCCCGCCAGATGTTGTATTTGCAAAATATATAAATAGATAAATAAAAAATAATAATAATTTTAATACTTATTTCATCTCAGAGATAAATCATTTTGTGAGTTTAATGTAACTAAATACAGAAATATTACTGGTATTTTGACATTTGAATCAGTAAAGTAGAAATTGTAGCAGGCAATAGGCCCAACCTCTCCCCTTGAAACCCATTCCTGTTCCGGGACCTTTACTCTCCGTCACTGTACATCAACTACTGTGCACTCTATTGACGCGGTCTATTTAAACAAATAAAAAGATATCTGTATTTTTTATTTGAATGAAAGAAAAACTCATAAAAAGGGGGCAGAGGAGGGGGTTTGGGTGGAGGGGAGAATTCCTTTTTCAAGACTGGATATATATATATACCTCATGATGCTTATATATATTTCAGTTGATAAGTAATTATTCCCGTATGATATATACGGATAATAAAAAATATATTCAAGTAAATATATTCAATCAAATACTTCTTCTCGTGGTATTTAAAACAAATTTGAACTGCTAGAATATTAAAGTTTACTATTTATTCACATATATACGTACCCACACAGCATAAAATGGATCCCGCCCCCTCCACACTTCCAGCTCTAAAGACTGGAGTGGCTGAAAAAAGTGACATAAGTCCCCCCCCCCCCATTTCCTCCCTACCCTACCCCTCTCTCCTTCAACACTATCGTATGGTGGTTCATGTCCCGCGTTTCTCGCAAGCGAAACAGTTAATGCGTTCTGCAATATTTTAGGGAGAGACAGATGAAATATAGTTTCCGCCATAATGTCTGCAAAGTTATATTGTACAAAACTGGAAAAGTTGATTACTTTTTAGCCCTTTAAAAAATTTAATATACTCTGCTTTTCACTAGTTCCAAGTGTCCCAAATATTTTGCTGCCAACTTGATAATGTTCTCTCGTGTGTATCCCCGAAAAACGTCCATACACAAAAAATTGATAATCGTATGGGATTTTTATACAGGCAATTGACCTACTTTGGGCCAGTGCAGTTATCGGCGCTATTTAACAATTTTATGACTTTGGCGTGGAAATGTGATTCACGTCATGATACATCAAGTTATTTATTATAATATGATTACTTAACAGTGCGTGTCGATCAAATCTTTCAAAGGTGATTTTAGCGTAAAGGGACATTGTTTTTTATAGATAATGGGAATTGTGTACACAAATAAAAAACCAAGAAAAAACTGTATTTTTATCTTATATGCAAATTAGATTGATTAGAGTAATAAACTAGCCGGGAATGATGGTCATCTCTGTAACGAGGCCTGTGCAAGCACAATCTAAACGACGCTGCAAACGAAGTTGTCAGCAGGAGGACAATCAGACATAAGTATTTAGGGAGATTTCAAAGAGATACAAAAGATCAGAATCACTGGAAATACGAGAAAGTTATTTTAAGTGGTTTTAAATGTTTTTCAAATAAATACTTTTATTTATGATCTGTATCTGTAAAAGCACAAAACTGAAAATTAATTGAATGTGTACTTTTGACAGCTATTGAATAAAATACAAAGTTAAACCAAAGAAATGTCTGATTTTAGTTATTTTCCTATACTTATATGTATATTTACAAATGAAGACAAATTAAATCTAGTATAAATTGCATGTGTTTGTCGAAACCCCAGCCAACCTCATTTTTGGCATTACTCACCACCGAAACAAAATCTCTCAATTCAGGACTTTCATTTTATATGAATGACTTATTGTATGAGATCGTATACTTCATCATCTTTGAGTAATACACCTTACGTACTTGCGGCGGGCAAGTAACGCCAATAGGTATTTCGAGCCCTCATTTTGGCCTACACTGACTTGGCGCCAAAGAATACGCTCGGACTCCGACCCCCCCTCCCCCTAAAAATGGATTTGTGCCCAAAGTTTCAAGAGAAGCGCATAGTATTTTTTGCATTTATCGACATTTATGTAGCATTTGTTTTAACAAATTTATTAAAATAATTGAATGTGTGCTGTTGAGGTATTATATTTTTTTTTCTACTTCTGCCATATAAAAATACGTTTGCCTACAACGTTAACAATTCTTGGGCCGACCCATTCGAAGGCAATTACAGAAAGGATCTTATATTTAATTAGGACTGAGAAGTAGGGGAATGATCAGACCTTCAATTACCCATTTTTCACAATCCCCCGTTACTTGATTGACATCACAAAATAGGCTTCATCTTTAAGTAGCAAAACCACCTATTTTACACACATCACACCATTGAAATCGAAAAGTGATTAACGGTACATGTTTCATCAACTGTTAATTCTTTAAGTCCAATACTTAATTGACTTACCTCCATTTTCAGAGAGGTGGGGGCACCACCTGTAACTCTCTGCCGTCTATCCATGGCCTGGCCACCATATCCCAAGATGTCCCCGCCTTGTGTTCTTGCTGCGTACAGGTATCTCTAGCAGGTATTGAACAGATAGTCTAAATATCGCTTACATTAAATTCCATGTGGTAAAAATGAAAACTCCAAGCCAGTCAGAACAAATATGCTTCGTATAAGCTGTGTGTAATATCATGTTAAGGTTATTTCATCATTTTGGCTTTCGACTTTTTTTACTTCTCACCCCAACCCCTGAACCCGTTGAGGCAGATTGTTTAACTCCATCTTCAGCGAAAAGTATGTACTTTTTTATTTTGGTTATTAGAGACTCAGTCTTCTGATAAAATGTACAATGTCCTCTTCATTATATGGTTGTATGCTTTTTGTTAATTTTTTTTAAATAAAAGACCATTTCGCTAATTGTAGGAGATGTAGATTATCAAAACGTGACGTTTTTTTTTCAATATCCAACTAANCCCCCCCCCCACACACACACACGCGCGCGCGAAAGTTTTTTAAACCATGCTAGTTCTGAACAGTGAAAAGGGGGACTATGGAGCCCTGTATGCCATCTTGTTTCAAGCAAATATAAGAAATAGTTAAAATGTTTAAGCAAATGTAAAAAGTAACTAAAACATTAAATCACACCAAGTTAATTATCCTTTCGTTATCTATGTTTAGGGCCTATAGCAAAAAATGTATTATCACTTTATCTTTATTATCATCGTCTGTATAAGAAGCGGGATGGACATATTGCGTTTCACTCCAGAGGAGAACAAAGGACGCGAAGTGAGAGTGATTTTGATCATGTGATCCTACATGTACATGTAAGAAACCATTAGTCAGACCTCAGAGGAAAAGGAAAATACTTGAAAGACAATTAAAAGTGTAAAAACATTATACCTGGAATCTGAGGCCACTGCGCCATCTAATAGAAAAGGAGTTAAACTAACTTTCCTTTTTTTTAATTTTTTTTTAAATTTATTTATTTGCGTGGCCTGAGATGCCATTTCTGCCATTTCCTGACCTGTCCTGACGTTTTTCCTAAAGCGATGTCGTCTTAAATGGAGAATTCTCCTACTATTTTGATGTTTACATGGAGACAATACCACTCTTTCATTATCGCTGAACTCAAGAAGTGCAAAATGGAGCTACCGCCCCTTGATTATCATCTGCTTGCACAAACTGTGCTGTATTTTGTCATTGCACTGATTGGCATGATTACTGCAGTACCTATAGGTGTAACAACGGTAAGTAACCTGTAATTAATTTTGTTAACTCGATACGGAAGTGTAAATAACTTGTTATTATTATAAATTTCGCGTCGGTAAAATAAACTTTTTAAGATGCTTCGAATCTCTAGTCTACTCCGATTTGAGCTAATTCAGAAAATTTTGTGTGCTTTAATATTGATACCAGTGCGATACATTTTCTCAAAGTATCCAGGTAGCTGCCTGAACAAGATTCAACTGTGAAAAAAAAAAAAAAAAAAGAAAACTTCATGTGCAAAATGATTTCTGGCGTCCAAATTCAACCTTTTGACATGTTAGCTTAATGTAGGTTTATTAACATGAATCAAGGGGTCATACAGATAAATACCTTTACTTGTGCACTTACAAACGCTGTCTAAACACAGGTAATTGACACCCCTGAGTACTTCAAGTTCATGTCAGCAATTATCATTGGCAGTTACTCAGGCACCTATAATTAACTCCATGACAATGAACATTTAAACCATTGATACTCATTTCTCATACACTCATTTTAAATTTTTTGTCATTCATTTCAGACAAATTTTCAAGGAGAGTGCTTATTATATGGCAAAGTTGTCTGGAACTCGACCCAGTTCACACCTTCTCTGACTGTTGGTGGTGTCTGTCACTTTTTGGTGGTTTATTTTGTGGTGGCTATCATACTATATGGTATTGCAGTAGGTCTGTATGGTGTGTATGCCTTGTGCCAGAGGGACAAAGACATAGGGTACGTGATATGTAGATGCTGAGCAAAGTCAAGGATTGAATTCAGCACATAGATAGTTCACAGTTTTATTTTGTGAAGTGTTTTTTTTTTCATGTATGTATAATACAAAATAATCTGATGACTCACTTCCACATATTATGTATCATAATTACAAACTTTAAACAATACTGATCAACTTCAAGTCTGAAAATTAATATAATTAATAATACCTGAAATATATTATGCAAAAATCCTGAAAGATCAGCCGAGTTCATATTTAAGTGCAAGTCTTCTAGACTAACTTTAGACAATTGATTTTAATCCAATATTGAACTTGCATCTTTAATTTGTTTACGATTGAATATGTTCCAGCCTGGCTGATATCTATTAATATTATATTATATTTATATTCCAGGTCTCAGATGTGGGTGTGGCCCTTTGCTCTGATCAACTCGGTTCTTACCATCCTAACGTTTATCGTGTCCTGCATTGTTAGTGTGGGCTTTTATCAGTTTTGTGGAACCTTTCGTAAAGGAAAGGACAGTGGTGCCAATGTAAAAAGGTAGATGATTTTATTCTGCGATGATATAATAGTGCTTAAAAGTGCAGTTCTGTCATTTAGATTTAAAGATCATTGAAAAAGTACTTGAAAAGCTGCCTTTTTTTATAGAAATGAGTTAAATGATATCTGGGCTGTACAGTATATTTAATCACATGCAATTCTTAATAGCACATCTGAAGAGTGTGGTTTGTTGAGAAAAACACATTTGTCACTGTTTCAGTTGTGTTGATGGACAGAAAAGTGACTGGGCAGCCAGTTGGAATTCTGCAGGGAAAAATGTTTATTTTGGGACTTACTTCAACTTTTTCACTACTGCACAAGTAAGACAAGTACTTCAGTAGTAGTTGATATAAGATATTGCTACCAATCTTTAAAAAAAAAAGTATAAACATCATGCTTACAGCTTAAATTGAATATTGTAAGAGATGGTTTTATAGATGTACAACCCCTTTTAACTTTGTGTTTTCGGACATGATTTTTTTAATTGAGGACCACATGGATGTAATCTGTTATAACTTTTGAATTATTTAGTTATTTAAATATTTTTAAAAATTTGTATGCTTTTTCCCCTCCCAGTATATATATATATATATATATATATATATATATATATATATATATATATATATATATATATTGTGTGCCTATGCATGGGTGTGTGTGTGGGTCCACATGTATTTAATCTACCTTTCTTTTACTTTATTAGACAGCATCATGGGTTTGTTTTCTTGTACTGGCAGCACAGCTAGTGTTATGCATTTTGAGGATTGTTCGTAACAGGAGGGCACGTGCAGCAGAGGGAAGCTACATCGAGTCAGATGTCTCAGACAAACGTACTATTGTGGACAGTGAGGCAAGACCCATATAGCTGAGACTGGTGATATTGGTGCAAATAGGATTGTAGTTAATTGTACCACCAGCATGAGTGCTGGGGTTAGCTTGGTTTTTACCTCCAAACCATTGCATCTGATGCTTATTGTTGGTTGATACAAGTCACTGTTAAGTGTAACAGCATCTCCTCATGGACTACTGAGGCATCCTCATTATATGGAAAAAAGGTCACATAATGATTTTATCTCAACTTGCAGCTGCAAAGTTTTGGGGTCAGTCAGTGCATTTGCATACTAGTGGGTGTGACATTTGTTGCAATGCACCTTTGTTAAATATTTTTAATCAAATGTGAAATATCTCCCAAGCATAAGGAAATGTGGGAAAATTTACTGAAGAAGACAAAACTGATTTCAAAGGTGTAGGTTTTGAAATTGATGTTGCATTATTTTGAACCTTGTCCTTTTTTGAGGGTCAGTTAAAGGGATAATAACTCTTCGTATGATATCTATATTTCACAATAAAAACATTGTGAACAACTCATAGAAATATAACATATTCTGTTTTACCACACAAATGGCAGTTATAGCTATTATTTAGATATCTGAGCTTGTCTTCAGATCACGTGATCTCCATTGATGGCTGTACTCAGTTATAATCTGTTAATAGATTTTAACAAAAAACCAACTGTTTAGAAAAAAAACAGGGACTAACTTTGAATCAGAATATAAAAATGGATTCATTAACCATTGGTAAGTATGGAAAAATTGTTGTTTACTCCAGGAAAATTAATTTTTAGGCCAAAACGAAGAGTTATTATCCCTTTAACAATATTTGTACTTTCAGTGATAAAAGTTGTTTTTGTTGGTTTTCAGTTACTATACTGTTAGTCAGTGCGTGTTATATAACAGTGGAAATGTACATATGGTGTCACCTGTCAGCTACATGAGTTTGGGGTCTATGGCCCCATTCAGAATAGGGGACTAACTAGTCTGATGGTCAAATATGGCTGACCCAATTGAATACTTCTCCACATGATATCTGTTCAGTGTCTATTAGCAGATTTGACGGCAAGCTTTGTAGTAGGTCACCATATTTAACCCTCAGACTAGTTAGTCCCCTATTCTGAATGGGGCCTATCAGTGCATATCAGTTACATACCCGTCATGCATCATCGCCTTTCTGATCCTCTTGTTGAAATTGAAATCAGTATTAGGGACTACTTAAATGAGAATATTAGTTATTTTAGTAACTGTACTTTAGGAGCTATTGAAAATTGCACATTTGGTGCAATGGCCCCATTCATACAGTGTTAAGAAAATAATTTCTTATTTTGAAACAAATGTAAGAAGATAAATGTTTTTGTCTATTTTAAGGAAGGAGAGTCATATCTTTTAATCTTATTGACTGTTGTTAAGAGTGATCAGTAAGTTTTGTCAGTTTTTAATGGTATTACTGGTTAAACTCTCTTACTTCATCTGCATAAAGTTAACTTTTAAATAATGTGGTAATAAATATTCACCACATGATGCAATGAAGTTAAGTGTACTTCATCATACTTAGATATTATCATTTTATGTGTAAAAAAGTTAAAAACATGCTACTATTTTAATTTGCACAGTGATTCTGATTAGCAGATAAACAGAAAATGAGAAATTTAAAGTATGAAGACAATTGTTTATGGAGACAGTTTAAAATGGGGCATGTTTGAAAAAAAAAATCAAAAAAGTCAGCATTGTAGATCTATTAGTCAGAGATGCCGTCAAATGTAGCTAGTCTTTTAATATTTTAATATGGAATCCAGTCAACTAATAATAGAGAGTTAGCTTATCAACTGTATTTCTTTCTCATTCAAAAGGACTTACCACTGGGGAAGAGGGGGTAGCTATAGTCAGCTCATATTACATGGAACCTTCTCAGCTAAAGTAAGGAAAGCCTTTTACATCAGGAGCTATGGCAAAAAATATCTAAATCTACTTGCAGAACCTCCTGTATTAGATTGGAATGGACATACATTATTAACTCTGTAGATCTCAGATTTCAACAAATACCAGGTTAAATTTTCCTTTTGGTTTACTGAGCAGTATGGAAGAGTTGTTGCGCATGCCATTTTCAGCTTTGGCATAAGGACCGATTGAAATAATTAATGCAGGTCTTCTGAATAGCATAAATGGACTGTAATCTACACACAGGATGGTTTTATGCTCAAACAAGTGGGTGCTGAGATGCAGTTTGTTCTTTCTTTCTTATATCATTAATGTAGTCAACAGATAATGGATTCAGTTTGGGATGCTTCATTATAAGCATTTAGACTGGGTTCCCATGCCCAGATCAATCTAACTGGATCGACCCATCTCCAAGGGGATTCCTGCTAAATTGCCTTTAGCTTAAACGGCTTATGTCTGGCATGCCTTCTGAAGCTGCTAAACGATAGTTAATTACTCTCTAACAGCTTCAGTGGGCATGTGAGACATCTAAGCTGCTGAAGTTGATAGCAATTTAGTGAGAACCCCCTTGGAGACAGATCTATCCAAAGTTAGTACCATAGTCTCTGGGAATGGTCTCTAAGTTGACTGAAAATTTTCAGACAAAACTTGCATGTAAAAATTTGCACAGTAGAATTTTGTCACTTTTGTACATTATATATTTTGTTATAAATAAACAGATTGTATTTGAAAATACAATGCATAAAATGTTATTGAAGTACAGTGGTTTCAAAAGAAATAAAAAAATTAACAAATTTGCAAAACAACATCTGAATTTGTTTAAGTTAACTGGAGAATGACATAACCATGTTTAAGGTTACATAAAAAAATCCCACTCAAGGAAGTGAGGTGAACACACTATTTCACTCCATCTTCACAAAGATATTGTTAATTGTTAAGGCTAGGCTCAAGCTATATGTTTATTTTCACCAAATGCTATGGGCAAGTTCTTTGATTTCAAAAATGAAGTAATTTTTAATTAATTTTCATTTTTCTTTTGTTTTTGTTATCTATTTGTTGATGTTTTGTAAGACAAAACAAGAGGTAAATAAACTTTTACTGAATGTATTACAAAACCATGAAAAAATTTATATAAGTTGTCATGTAATTCCCAAATAAATATGTATGCTTCTACTTACAAGAAATATAAATGAATTACTTTTGCAGCAAACGGAGTAATCTAAAGATAAAAAGTTCACTTTAAGCTTAACTGATAACAAATACCAATATCACTGATCTTCAAGAAGTAAACATTAGCTTTACCAAGCACATCTACCATTTGTGCTCAGACAAAAATTAATTATAATTGATACTGGCCAATAATCAGCTGCCTATACTACTACTGTGTAAAACCCTGCAAACTGAAACCTTCAGCACTAGTAGCAGTAGTTAGCTTTTCTGTCAACATAACATTAGATGCCCCCTTAATGCATCTAAATATTAATCAATATCTACTAATTCAAATCTTCTGCACGATACACATTCAGCTGGCTCATTAAGAGAAATTAGCATTAGTCATCCATCTGGTTTCCTTTTGTTTTACTTCATAATGGTCATGCAATGTTGCTTTACTTATAATGAACATGCACTGTTGCTATATCAAATACATTCCATACAGTTAGAAGCTTGCAACGTCTGTGGAAAGGCAATGGCACAGACATATAGCTCTGCTGAATTGTTAGATGGACCATGGTCATCCATGTTCAGGCCGGGCAGGGCAAGGCTGAAAAGATCAGGTGCTCTCCATTGACATTTTGATAGCTTGTTGCAAGTCCTCCTCTTCAGTTTTTTCTGAAAAAAAATAATAAAAATCAGTATTATTCTTGTTCTGTGCAAAATCTTGATGTGTGGCTGAATTAACAATATGTTTGAAATGGGTGCTAGTGTTCCCCAGGACATGGAAGTACAACTGGGATGGAACAGAATCTGGTGGAGGTCTGATGTCAGATGTGTGTTAAGGGGCAGGACAAAGACAACGTGTGACAGGCCAAATCAACGAGGTCACCTGTGGAAATCCACAGAGCAGTCTTGTGAGAACATGCCAGAACAAACTGGCACAAACCAGATGCAAGGTGGCGCAATACATTAACTCTCTTGTTGTTGGCAAGTTGGACAATATTTTAGCAGAATGCGATATAGTTACGAGTGATGACTATGTCATAGAGATTGAGGACGATGTGAACGAGTTTTATGATCCTGTAGAAAAAGAAAACCCTGTGGACAAGAGCGCCTTATTTCTAGAGGCACAGTCTCAACTTCCCAATAATGTACCAGTGCAAGTGTCATGATAATAAAGCAAATGAAACCTAGACCACATATTACACTGAAGTTCTTTTATACATTCTTGCACAACATAATACTAGTTTTTTCAAAAAACACCAATTGTCAATTCATCATTTTCCATCATTTAACATATTGAAAACATGCTTAAAAAGTTGGCATAAATATGAGTCAAAACCATGTGACTAATGTTCAATTTTACCACTCCAATAAAATTAACTAATTAATTAAAGAAACAATTAAAACAACATAATCCACTGCACACTTGAGCATAATGAAAAATCAAACATTAACATGTTTTTTGTCATAGAAAGAACTGTAAACTCAAAAATCCTGTAAGGTGTGTGAAAATTGTGTGCTGACACCAGTTGTACTTCCATGCCAGGGATAAAGTTGCACATTTTTCAAATTACAGCTAAAAACCAGTCCTCTTAGCTCTAACTGCCTGGGTATGAAATAAATAAAACTGTATGTCAAGTTATAAGAACTTGTAGCTTTGCGCTCAAACTTGCCTGGAGTATCTGTTCCATGTTCAGGTTTGTCTAAATATGCTAATCTCCGTAGCCGTATCTCCTCGGCTGTGACTATGTTATTTCCACTACTGGTATCACAGTTCTTATCGGCACCATCTGTGACTGAATGAACGTCACTTTCAACAGCACCACCATCAACAGTATCCTCACTGCTACCTGGTAGTATACCTGCAATGAAGAGTTATCAGGTATAAGTTGATTTTTTTTTACTCGGCTGTTGCTATTGTATTTGGGTCCCACATTTAACAGATGTGAAGACCTAGAGTTTTAAATAGGTCCAAGTTAGGCCCTACAATAGTGAGTACTGCTCCCCATTAATTAATGCTTGATTTCATTCCCTTACACCGTGTTTCAAGGTGCTAATAGCCAGTGGTGTCTTAAAAGAAGGAAATAATGTCATTTTGCATCCAACCTTTTTAAACAATTTTTTGCTTTTAATGATTAATCAGAAATGGAGTATGCAAAATAAAGCAAATCCACACAAGACCTCCATGAACCTTTAAAAGTAAATGTTACAGCATATTTAACAATAAAAACATAGATCAATTTCAAAATAAACCCTTTCACCTTCCACACTAAGCTTAAGGGCCTTTTGGAGGTCATCTTCCTCAGTTCCCTCAAGTGTTTTGGCACTTTCTGCAAGGGCCTTCTCCAAGTCTGACTGCCTAAACTGATATCTGGCACTATCATCTTGTTCTGCACTACTGCCAGCTTGGGCATCTTGAGATTCTGTGATCAGCTTTGGCTTGATTGGCTGGACAGCTGGGGTCAGTTGTAATAGCTGGTCAGCCTCGCAGTCTGGTAGGTGCCCAGTTATGACAAATATTGAGTAGCCTGGAAAGTGTTATTAAAAGAAATATAAATATAAATAAAAAACTTCTTTACATTCCCCAGAAGCCTAAGTATAAAATGATGGTTCATACAGAACATATAACAAATTTTTAGGCTCTAAAATCAAATACTTTTCGAGGACTTTTTGAATGTAAATGAGGGCAACTTACTGTCATTTACAAGACAGTTTACTGTACATACAAAAGAAGAAACTTTTTCATTTTATATATTTTTACACATTAATGATGAAATACAATTACATTACTATGAAAAAATAATATCAAACAATGTCAAAAAGGGCACCCTCCACATCCAATATAATCTTATAATTACAAATAGATATCCTTCTTTAATGACATGCTCAATCCATGCACCATGTAGCAAATGAAATTCAGAGAAAGGGTGCATAGGCTGATAATGACCTGTGATCTGAAATAATGAGAAAATTGGAGACTTTTCGTTTCCAATAAAAACTTCATGCTTCTGTGACACTTTTCTGAAAATAATTATTAAAGTATGCAGATTTTAAATAGTGTACAATCAGAATGGAAACATTTTGGGCCATCCTGTATAAGCATCATCATCATTTAGAGCCTATAGTGTTCCACTGTTGGACAAAGGCCTCAGCATGCTTTTTCCATTGTTTCCTATCCTGAGCCTCAGATTTCCAGTTTGGCCAAGGTTTCTTCTTCCAAGACTTCCAGTAGTCATCTAATTCATCCCTCCATCGTTTGACCGGCCTTCCTCTTTTTCTTTGTCCATACCTTGGGGTCCATTCTGTAAGCCTGATTGTCCACCTATTGTCCTTCATTCTTTTGACATGTCCTGCCCACCTCCATTTCATTTCTTTAACTGTGAGCAGTACGTCCTTAACTTTGGTCTGTTCACGTAACCATACATTCGTTTTCCGCTCTCTTGGATTGATGTTCAACATAATTCTTTCCATCTTTCTCTGAGCTACTTGAAGCTCGTGTTCCATGGAGGCATTCAGTGCCCAGGTCTCTGAACCATAGGTGATTGCCGGCAGCACACAAGCACTGAACACTTTCTTTTTCAGGCAGGTAGGAAGGTATAAATAAATAAAAGGAAAATCAAAATATAATATCTAAATTTTCAAATTATTCCTATAATTACCATGCACCTACAGGATTTCTCTCGACTACATATCAAAATACAATTTCTAAACTTTGAAAAATTTTCAAATTATCTATGAACGTACCTTCTTGTTGTAATTGCATAAGAAACATGGCAAGAAAAGTATCAGAAACAAGTTCTGGTTCTGTGAGCAAAGAGTTCAAATTAAACCACTGATGGCCAAGTTTTCTGATAGACAGCCAATGTTCCTTGAAGTTACAAATGAAAGCCTGTTGCTCTCTGCAATAAAAACAAGGGTGAAAAAAGAAGTCAAATATATACTGGTCAAATTTTATCAAGAAAAAAAAAACACTGCTGTCAATTAAATAATACAAAGGTGATATGCAGCATATAATAATCAAAAATAGTAGAATAACAAACCAATAGCTTCAAATGAGATATTGAGCAAATATAGATTGCATTACAACTACATTTGCTTCATAACAAAATTAAATAAGGCTTTTTTTTATACAGTGTTTAGTATTCAATGGATGTTCATCTGCTCAGGTGTAAAGTAGTTAAACAGTGGCTCAAATTATTAGAAATTGATGCAAATACCAGTTTCATATAGTCTTTGCTACATTTTTATGCAGACAAAAATAAATGCCTAGGGCGAGATAACTGCTAAAAGCCCACATGCACAATTTATGGGGTCAAATGGTCACACTGAGTAAGGATCTTAATGTGTCTGTCAGCAGCCAATATTGGCAGACAATAAATATTTGTAAGAACTTAATTTAAAGAAGAGATTAGAAAGTTTCATTTGATGTGCAACACACTTGAGCAATGATTGATATATTTGTAACAGGGAAAGATCAATTTGGTTTTTGCATCTAGAACTGGTGTACAGAGGCTAAGAAGGGTTCATTTTTAAAAGAAACTAATGGAAAACAATGTCAATGAGCAGGAGCTCTTTTACATTAAACTCACCTCCCATCTCCTAACTGGTTAACAAGCAAATGAATCTTATCTTAATAATGGTCATGTTGATTGGAAAACTGGATGGCTTTTCAGGGGTGTGCAAGTTGAGGAGATGAGAAGTCATTAAGATAGAGATTTGAAAGCTCCAGCATCCCAGTGGATGCACAGACTGGTCATCACTTTATGTTTTTTTTTTTTTTTTTTTGGGGGGGGGGTTTCTTTTTCTTTTTTTTTTAAGCCTTTCCTTTCATACTTTAGCACATCCAGTACATATACAGTAAAAAGGATTGGTATAATTAATGCATGAATTTTGAACCAATCTGACACCGAACTTACACTGGGTTTTCTCTTGCACCAACAGCCACAGGATCTGGACTATTGTATGGAATCATGTCCAAGGCCCACACCTCCAGTGCCTTGTTGATCACTTGTATTGAGAAGAAACCACTGTCATCCATATTAGTAGATCCTTGCTGCAAGAAATATATGACACAAATAAAACTGTTTTAAAACATAACTAATATATGATATATATAAACTCCTATATTCCAAAGTAAACACATCTTAAACGAACATCTTTAAAAGATGGATTATTTTGTAAGATTTATCACAACAACAAATTTAAGCATTGTGCAGTGTTGCTTGAAAATAATCTTCCAAACTTAACACCCTATTGTAAAATATCAAACAATTGTATTTCAGATAATTATTCAGCTTATCCATCATCTTAACAAGACTTCAGCATACCTCCAAAAATCTTCTGTAATCTTCTGAGTCTTCTCCTGCCACTGCCATGTGCCTCCTTTCAGATTCATCCAACTGCCTGGCTATCTCTGCCAGATCCACTGCAGTGAAGTAAGGGCCCTGAAGGAGTGCATTTAGACAATGCTGGGCACACAGAGAACCTTCTTGCTGAAACCCAACAATGAAACATGTAAAAGATAAATGTGCTGGTATTATAATTAATGATGCAGTGGTAATTAAAGTGTGTATATACTGGAAATGCCTGTTCAAGTTTTCTTCATGTGCACAAACACACATGTACTTGTTCTAGATGTTCTCCAGTCTGAGCTAAAATGCATGTCTTAAGTTATGTATTTAAAACTTTTCCCCATAACTCAAAAGGTAAAGCTCAAGAGACTATAAATTTATTCTGACTAATGCAAAACATAGACTAGCACCCAAGTGTGAGCTAGGATTTAATTACTGTTCCTTTCAGTCAAGACTCTTCTTCAAATATAACCTACTTCTAAAAGACATATAAATGTATGATAGATTGCTTATTTATGAGTTAAATGTGCATTGAAAACGAACTACATGCACTCATAACACCATGATCAAGTACTGATGTGGTATAAATCGTTTGGAGCACAAACCATCTGTTCTGCTCATGCCCACGAAGCGCAGGCAAATCTGAGAGACTTCGGGTGTGTACATTCTTAGACTTAAATAAACATACACTGTCGAGGACATACTGTACAATATTACAGTACAGGTGAATACTAGTAACTATACGGATCATTCACAGATCGGTCAGGATGGATGGTTCATGCAGAACGAACCGTACACGTGACACCGGTAATAATAGGGCCCAAAGTTAACTTTCGGCACCTGGTAGATCTACACTTTAGCATAAACATTGCTCGAGTTCAAGATCAATGAAATTTGGGGGGCAGAGTACAGATAGCAAGTTACTTTGATGTTTAAAGCAACAGAATGGTATCCTTTCGTGTTACCTCGGTATTTAGTGACATCCCTTCTTAATCATTATCTCTCTCTCTGATGAGCCACAGCCCTCCAACTGGAGCATATTATAATGGCTGGTCATTTCTTACTTACTCTCTCGTGAAATATTGCGTCCATGTCAGGCACCTTTTCAAACGGTCCAAAAGCATTAATCCAAAATCGTACAGAGTTACTTCATGTTGAAAATAAGCAATTGCTATCGCACACCAAAATGTAAACTTAGACAACCAAGTCCCCAATCACGTTTGGCTTAGTTAGCTCTTTTGGCTTACTGCTCTTTCCCGTGGTAAGTTCTCCATATGTAAGGCAGTGAATCTGTAATTCAGAAAGTTAAAATCTCCCGAAAAGTTTCCACCTTTTATTTTGTTTTTTTAAACAGTCAAACTATAGGGTCCATATCATTAATGTCTATATCATATATGTTTTACATTATATGTTCATAAACAAAAACAGTAATCCTTTATAATTTCATATGTGGCTCGTCTTGATTATTATTCATTACCGCTGAACCTCACAAACAAATCCACGTTGTTTCATCTCCGGTGTTTGTGAGACAGGTGGGGGATATAATGAGTTTTGTCATCTAAATAGCATGCATTGTAAAAATGCAATCAGCTATTGTCCATGGCTGTTATTATATTCAAGCGGCGGTTTGCATTGTTTTTGGTGTTGCTGCTCATTTTTCTTTTCATTATGTTACTTTCCCAAGGTAATGACCAATGCACAGTATGCTATATATACAATGTGCATATGTATATACCATATTGCATACTTGCATGTATGTGAATTGCACGCGGCCAGCACGAAAATTCACGCAGAAGGTTTTTTTTACTGTGAGCACTCCTATATACAGTTAGTAGTCCTATTTACGGTAATTAAAAGATTCTTAAATGGGAATGCTAATGCATGGATTTTCATGCAGGCTTATACAGCACATGTACTTGTGAGACATACAGGGCTAGTAATTAAAGGGAGAACAACTGTTCCTATGAGATTCATATTTCACAATTAATACATTGTAATCAACTCAAAGAAATATAAATTCCATTTTACCACCAAAACAGCAGTTGTCGCAATTATTCTACAATCTATGCTGGTCATCAGACCAAGTGGACCTTCATAGATGGCTATACCTCAGAAATAATCTCTTAAGAGATTATTGCAAAAAAAAAAAAAAAAAAAAAAAAAAAAAATTTAGAAAAAAATTTGAAGTGCGTGCGAACGGAAAAATGGATTCATTAACCATTGGTTAGCATGGGAAAATCATTGTTTATCCCAGGAGAAAACTTTTTTGAACAAAACAAACAGTTGTTATATATCCCTTTAAGTAACCACTTGCATTAGTTAAGAGGCAAGTATTTTACACAGTTTTGTTTTTGTTTCTATTAAATATTAAATTAGCCGTAGTATCTTGGTATTTTATTTAACTCAAATTAATATATATATATATAAATATATAACTTTAAATAGTTTGAAATAAAATATTTTCGTATATCATTTGAAGGTTATTTCTGCAGCAACATGGACATTGATGAAGAAGTGAAGTGGGTATCTAAAAAAGTATTGGAACTTTCTGCCAAGGAGAGAAGATTGCAATTACAAGAGGAGAGACTATTGCACCTTGAGAAAGAACTCAACAAAAGCTACTCAAATAGTGCTGTGTCAATGCTCAAACAACAACAGAGTTTCATTAAAGACCTTCCTACTATTTATGCCATTACTCCCACTTATGCAAGATGTGTTCAAAAAGCAGAGCTTACAAGATTATCACAAACATTTCTTCATGTGAGAAATTTTCACTGGATAGTGGTAGAAGATGCAGTAGAAAAGACACCTCTTGTCACTAATTTTCTCAGAAACTGTGGACTGATTTACACACACTTGAATATAGCTACACCAGAAGACCATAAATTACAAGAAAATGATCCAAATTGGTTGAAACCCAGAGGAGTATTGCAGAGAAACATTGCATTAAAATGGCTAAGGGACAATCTTGATGTTGACAACAAGCAGGGAGTTGTTTATTTTGCAGATGATGACAATACTTATGATCTCAAGTTATTTGATGAGGTACCCATTAAGAGTTCATTGTACAGGCGACACTTGCATATATTTAAAGTTACTTAAACAGACCTTGAACTGTAATTTTAAAGGTAATGAATATACACACCTGTTTATAGGGGGCCGTAGTGATAGTCCGAAGGTTCATTGGTCCGATGGTTCACTATAGAACCTTCGGACCAATGAACCTTCGGACCAATGAACCTTCGGACTATCGAGACGCCCCCGTTTATAGAACTAAGGAATTGTATTTCAAATACGCCTTTTTTTTGCATTTAGATGAGGTCCACCAAGCAAGTGTCTGTTTGGCCAGTGGGGTTGGTGGGAGCATTGAGGTATGAAAGTCCAGTGGTCCACAATGGAAAGGTAGGTCTTATTTCAAATAGAAAAAAATGCTTGAAGTTGCTTCCCTCTGATATACCACAGGGTTCAAAATTGAAGAATAGACCCCTGTGAGATCTCACCTGATCAGGCTGTCGATTCTTACACAACTACCCTGCCCCTACACCTGCCCTTAAACCCTGGCCAAGCAGCAGAGGAGGACAACTGTGGGATTGAGTGCAATTATCATCTAAAATAAATCCATACTTGGCCTTATAATATATTTACAGCTTTTGAAACAATATGTAACACACACAGAAATACTCCCTTATTATTATGAGTTACTTAGAGGGTACGTTTTAGAATGTTATTAAGTTAAGTTAAATATTAAGTTATTCAGAAAAATCCCACCAGCATAGGAAACTTTCTATGCCACCGATTGCTTCAGCTAGTGATGCAATACATGTACTTTTAAACTTTTTTGTTTTGGGGGGGGGGGGGAGGTAAGGAGTGTATTATCTAAGAAATTAAATAAAAATGATTGTATGTGGGCAGTATACTCAGGCTTTTAAATTAAAATGTGTGTTATCTCTATTATAAAAGTAAAAAATGTTTCAGTTTTTACAGAAATTGAAAGGAGGAACAAACACAACTCTGGTGATCACTTTTTTTATCTAGTTGATGGGTCAGGGGTTGCATTTTATAAACTTCATGAGTGTATACATTGTTGTGTTCCATACATAGTTGTGTCAGCCAAAATTGTAAACTCTATAGCTCTTTTTGGTTATTTATTATCCCTTTTAAACACCTAATCCAGTTGGTGGTATATACCCAGGAGGCATTGCCTCTCTGGTCCTTAAGTATAGTAAATATCTATTTGCAACAAACTTTTTATTTTAGCGTGAAACAATTATAGACTTATTCATTTGTTAGGAAAGGGATTATTTTCAGATAAGGATACATCTAAATCTTTGCTTTCTTGATTGTTAACATTAATCATTGAGATCAATTTGTTTGAAAAAGTGTATGTATTACTTGTTTATTGTATCCAGGTAACAGGCTGGTTCACATACTGGAAACCAGAGCGACCATTTGCTATGGATATGGCAGGCTTTGCAATAAATCTACAGCTGATGTTAAAGAATCCACAAGCAAACTTCAAAATCCGGGTGCCCAGAGGTTACCAGGAGTCCGAGCTGTTGAAACATCTGGTCACCATGCAAGATCTGGAACCTAAAGCTGAAAATTGCTCAAAGGTAGGGGGTCAGGGGCAGCTCCAGAGATATTTTCTAACAGCCTTCCCAATTATCATTGTTGACCCATTCTCTAAATTCTGGCCATCTTCTGAGACCCAGAAGACATCCTTCATCTGCTCCTGGGTGTTGTGGGGCAGATAATAAATGCTGCAGCGTTGGTAAGGTAATTTTCAAGAACAAGAGTTACAGATGATGGATTCTTTTTTCTCTAAATTAAACTGCAATTTCAAATATTGGAAGCATTTTGATTTCTATAGTTTGTCAGTGCACAGTATGAATTGCTGTTTTATTCATATTGATGCATTTTTTAAACCAGGTATTGGTGTGGCACACAAGAACAGAAAAACCGAAGTTAAAGAATGAAGACAAATTAAAAAAGACTGGTCAGCAGTCAGATCCAGATATAGAAGTTTGAATGCCAATACTTTTCTGTTGCCAAAGCAGTTTAGTATACAATGATACACCATTGATAGCTGTTATTGCCTGGAAACATAAACAGACTTTGGTTGTAAAATAAAATTCTTCTAATCCAGTAATAGTTACAACAGGATATTGCAAATATTTAACAAAGAAATTCTAGAATATAATAAGAGAAAGTTACTTCCATCAGTCAAAATCAAAATAAAGTTTTATTTTTATTCTTTCAAGCCTTTTATATATATTGCCTAATTCATAGGCTAAAAGCAAACTTATGCAATTACAGATTAGGGAGACGTCAAATGCATGTTCCCTCAAAAAGAATCTGTACAAGTAGCTAAATGAGTCAAAACAAAGCCTTTTTCCACCCCCTGCCCTATGTATTGTAGTAAAATTGCCCTGGTAAGGAGACAAAGTATAAGACTTGTTGTAATAGAACAAAAATAATGCAACTGTTCTTTTGTCACTTGTCAGAACCTGTTTAAAGAACGTTTAACAATAAATTAAACTGTACACTATATTTAGAAAGCTGAAAAAAGTAAAATATGTACTACATATACTGGTATATGTAACTCTACTTCATATTTTTCAAAATGTACATTTTACAATGAACATTTTATAACAATGAGATTGTTTATCATTTTGACTTAAAATGATGGAGTGCAGACCAAGTGCTTATAATTAATAGATAAACAAGAACTACAGTATTGATAAAACTTTCAATAACTATAGTGCAGACCAAGTGCTTATAATTAATAGATAAACAAGAACTATAGTATTGATAAAACTGTCAATAACTATAGTGTTGATAAAACTGTAAATAAACACTTAAATCTTACTTAAACATTTCCAGGAAACCCATTAAAGGATTTCCACAGTCAGACAACAGCAGGTTGAAAAACATTACATTACAGTTAAAAAAGTTCATACCACAATTAAATTAATGTTATCAACAATCGTGAAAACATAAAAAGTCATTAAATGTGGCTTTTAAAACCACGCTTCACAGATGTTCTTTTTCATATTCCAGCAGAGATATTTACTCTCTTAACAAAAACAACTCGGTTATTTTGATGCAATGAAGTTACCAAAAAAAAAAAAAAAAAAAATCCTATGGAACATTGCTTCAAACCTTTTATCAACTGTTTCACTTCCAGTTAATTATTTGCATCAAATTCTTTAAAAAATGTTCAGTCCTCATCGCAACATCAAGGTTTTATAAGTTGCCATCGAACCTTGTAGATCATTCAAACCAAACCTTGTGTAATGGCTGCATGCTTGTCAAAATGAGCTGCCAAAATCTCTTTCTTTTCATAATTTATCTTTTCAACAACTCCTTGGAGCAGATGTTTTGGCCCTGAAATAGAAAGTGTTGAAATTGTCAAAATTACAATGTTTATTACACATCAGGCATAAATAATGGGACCTAGAATTTCTTATCAACATGACGGTTATTGCTCAGGAGTGATGTCAAAGCAGCATCTGCTGCTAAGCTTAATAATTGGTTAATGGCTGATTAATGATCAAAGTTCTGTGTGACGGAAATGTTTCAAAATTTTTATTTACAAATGAAAAACTGACCTTTTTTGTTTAAAGCCATGTAAAAATTTGTGAATACTATGCCACTGAAGACTTCTAATGGCTGAGGGAATTCCTCCACCATATTTAACAGTCGACCGATAAAGTTTTATGCATAGAGATACACTGTCTGAAATGGAAGCAGTATAATATAAGTCATCTGAAAAAGTAAGNACAACATATTAAATGAATGTTTTAAAACCATAATGGTGATTAGAAACTATTTTTACCAATCAATTAAAATAATGATCACTGACAAGGAAATGGGAAGGATGCATATTTTTTCTTTGAAAGCTAGGGAAGGATAAGTACCTGAAACCAATTGGCCACTGTGATACATCTGATGCTGGGTCTAATACAAATAGGAGCACCTGTAAAACTAATGTTCTGATGTGACAAGAGACAAAACACTGCAGCAAACAGTGCATCAAACTCTGAGCAGCGTAGATCCAAGCTTGGAGTTATAACTGTGTCCAACAACAAAATGTATCGCAAAACATAGCAAATGAAGCCTTCTCTTTGACCGAAGTGTTGAAAGAAACTCTCAAACTTGCTTTCACCTATAATGAAATTTAAATATGTAATCATCACTACTTCTAATATCCTAGAGAACTAAATTTCAAATATTTGACAGTGACAGACTTCAGCAATGCACAAATAATATAAAAAAATGCAAAAATAAGCTTGTGTCAGCAAACTGATTAAACAAATTAATCTGTATAATAAAACACTGTCTAGCTTTCTACTCACTTTCCATGTGGGTCATAATATGGTGAAATAGTTTGAATTTGTCATCAGTGTTGCAGTGGATGACTTTATCTGCCCTCAAGTAGTTGATATTCAAAGCAGCTGTCACCTAGAAAAAGAAAGCAAAATGAAATATATTCCCAACTTTAGGGAGATTCTCACGTCAAGATTTTTTTTATCTTATCTGCTTAGATATTACAAAAAACAAACTTGTCTATTATGAGACATATCTGTTGCATCAAAAATACATTGGGGGTGAATTTGCTTATGCAAGCTGATGATGTAACAAGAGCATTTTGGGGATGAAAACTTCGTAATATTGCTTTCAAACAGACCTCCCCCCCTCAGCCATTTTCACACCTATTTAATCACAACAGTAAGTACTACAAGCTGGCACCAGGAAATTCTCATGATTTTATTATCAGTAAGGAGACGGAATAATGGAACATCACAATTAGGGGGTCATATCTCCTAACAATTCCAATAAAAATCAAACATGGGTATCAGATTGTGATTCACACCCTACAGTCATCAACCATGCCAATTTTCATAATAATATCTTACTTAGTTCAGAAGTTACATTGCAAAATGATATATCACCAATTTACAAAGCAACAAAAATGACAATTATTGTGGGGTGCCAAACAGTTCAAAGCAGATTAATTTATTTCAAAGAAGCATTATTTTTCACAACAGCAGGTACACTATGGTGCATCTATCTTCACAACATATTTTGGTTTTCCAACCAATCAATACGCACTACCATCTCAGCATACTTTTCATATTAAAACTGGGTTCCCAGGCCTAGATCGATCCATCTGGATCGGTCTAACTCCCTTGGGAGTCTCACTAAATTGCTATCAACTTGCCGGCTTAAATGTCTGTCATGCCTACCGAATCAGCTAGAGTGTAAAGATAATTACTCCCTAACAGCTTACTAGGCGTGACTGACATTTAAGCCAGTTAAGTTGATAGCAATTTAGTGAGACTCCCCAGGGAGATAGATCGATCAAATATCTGTGGGAATGGTCCCTAAGTTATTATCAACGAACACAACAGTTCATTTAATACTGGCAATATAATGTATGATTAAGCCATGATCAAACTTTTATAAAACATCTGAATTTTGGAGACCTAGCTCATGCACACTAACTCCACTGGGACACTTGCTGAATGCAATCAGATTAACAGACTACATCTAACACCCATCCTCTTGTTTCCAATGTACCATATAATCAATAGCTTTCAGGCCCGTAGCCAGCAAATTCACAAGGGGGGTTCTTTTTCTGAAAAAGTGGACCTTTTACAATGAAACTTATGTGTACCTAGTTCAAATTTTACCCAAAATGGACATTTTCTTGACAAAAGGGGCGGTTCTTTCGAACCCCCCGAACCCCCCCTGGCTACGGGCCTGGCTTTTCTATGTTCTACTCAACCTCTATCTCCTGAAACTGAGGGCTCAGCACTCTTCCATATTCCAGGACAGCCACTTGACCACTGGGCAGTACCATTCTGTAGATGATGCATCTCAGTCCCAACATGCACATCTCAATGCTTGGTCCCTGTATGTCTTCAAGTACAGAGTGATGCCAATATACCTTGCCATGCATGGCTAGTACGGAACTGGGCAGATGGCCATTACGTACCTTGAAGTAAAATTGTTGAAGACATGGTTAAAGAAACAATTTGATCATCTGCTGAGATACTTGCATATACTTAGGTTTTTGATAAAAATATGTATAAAACAAGAGGCTGAAGTGGCAATATTTTTCAAATAACTAATGTCAAAATTGATGTTAATATTTCACATAATTTAAAAATTTTAAATAATTCTTAATTGGAATTACGAAAATGCAATCACCTGGCTTTCCAAGAAAACAGACAATGGAGTCTGAGGATAACACGCTCCGTCTGGGGGCATAGTCAGATTGTAGAAGTTCTTGGTATAATGAACTGCCTCACGGAAACTTGAATTTGTTCTCTAAAAAGTTTTTAAACATTGACTTATAAGGATAGGTAAATTTGAAAACTTTATAAGATAAAACCAGTGCCACTGTAAAATGTGGGCACATTTCAGCATTATACTCCCCAAGACTGAAATATATAAAATATTCACTTCTATTCTTTTAAGGAAAGTGCCCTGAGAATTTGCTACAATTCAAGCAAGTATAGTGATTCTGAAAAGTCTCAGGCCATGGACGTTGCCCAACGTGCAGTTTCCCTTTTGGTATCAGACTGGTAAAATTACTGCTAATTGATATGCATGCTGGTCCAAATGTCCAGTGGAAAAATGTAAAAACTGCATACATGTTGTGAAAAACTTAATCTGATACTGTTGTGTATCCAAATGGCACTTGTTTGAAATACAGTCAAAAGTATTTACTGTACACATTACCATGCTGTGTGTGAATGGGGCTTAAGTTATCTGCACGGTTCCACAGAATGGCATGTGATGTAGCAGTATGATCAATATACTCATGATTAGCTAAGCCTCAGAGTCAATCAAACACTTTTCAATGAAATTCAGACGGTGATATGCATACATATGAAAACTGAAAAGGATGGAAGCTGGTCCAAATCAGCAAATCAGCTCTGAAACTATATATATATATATATATATATATATATATATATATATATATATATATAGCTATAAAGTAACATAGTAAATACACATGCATTTACCATATCTTCTCTCAGTCCTTCATTTTTCTCCACACTGCCACCCCACCTCAACCACTGGGCTATTGCTTCCAGGCTGACATGACCAATGCTCAATTTACTCCTCAACACACCCAGATTGCTCATAAATGATGATGTAAAGTCATTGCCTTGTATGATGGCTAGGTCCACCAAGGCACCAAGGTTTGGCAGCTAAAAACAAGAAGACAGACATGATTTTTAAAAAAGTGCACAGAATTATTATATTTTTCTTTGGTGAATAATATTTGAATATTTCATTTTTTTCTTTTTAAGCAATTACTACTACTTAAATGTACATTGCAAGTTTTAACCATAAATAAATGATAAATTATTTGGAACAAAATGCAACGAAATCTCCACATTTTTCCACGTAATAATTCTATTATTAACATTACCTTCAAAGTTTTGACAACTCTTTGTGGAGTTATTACACCAACAATCAAACTGGTTATTTCCCTGGGATACAGAGTTTTATAATTTGGCCTCAGATATCCTTCCAGATCAAACAGCTGCAGAGGTATAAATGTGCACCTCTTCATAACACAGAAATCCCCATCATTACTAAGCACTGCAAAAGCTTTAGGACTGTAAAAAAAATTAATTAAAAGCTTTTAAATTTGAAATCAGAATGTGCAATTAATCAAAATCATGTAAATATTTGCTGTATGGCGCATATAATCTGCAGTGTGTCTGTGGGTATTAGATTAACCAGTCTTCTTTTGGCTCTGCTGTCACCTTAATCAGTCAGAGCAGGTCTTACCAAAATGTGTTGTTATACATGGGTTGGCCATATTTGAACTGCGGACCAGTTGAACGGTGGATCATCTGTTCAGCTGAGAGATCTGGAATCTCCTAAAACGGCATGGACAATCCAGCTGTTGGCTTGACTGACCAAACTTACTCTGATCTCTAATCTCTATATAATGGCAATACAAAGTATTCTCTAGACATACTGATACACTAAAAGTGATTCCTATAGCAAGATATATTAAAGCCAATTGAGATACATTCACCAGTAATGTTTAACACAAACTTAGACCGATTTTACTTAAATAGGAATGTGAAGCCATGATTAAAGTTATTCAATACTTTAAAACTGAAAACATCCTTTAAAACTTGGTTACAGCTCTTTCCAACTAGAGGATCAGAGAGGCGATATCGCCTCCGAATATTGTACCACCAGCTGGAGCAAGCGCATTTGTATAGACCCCCACATACACAAAATAAGGGACACAGCCACCAGTCTTATGCTTGACAAGCTATAAAAATGCAATCAACAAGAATTTTCAAAATACGCAAAAAATATATATAACTTAAAATGGTACAATCAAAGTTAAGTTCATCGTAAGGTAGGTCAAAGGTCAATTTCAAGGTCACAGTAAATTGCCAGTATATGACTTCCTATTCAACTTCAATAGTAATTATGGACCTATCTCTGCCAGGTTTGGAGTTAAAAGAGAAAGAAATTAGCAGAGTTCAGTTCATGGTGAAAAGTAGGTCAAAGGTCAATTTCAAGGTCACGTTTAGATTGCCAGTATATGACTACCTATTCAAGTTCAATAGTAACTATGGACCTATCTCTGCTACTTTTGGAGATAAAAGGGAGGCAAAATTTGCAAAGTTCAGTTCATGGTGAAAAGTAGGTCAAAGGTCAATTTTAAGGTCACATTTAGATTGCCAGTAAATGACTTCCTATTCAACTTCAATAGTAACTATGAACCTATCTCTGCCAGTTTTGGATATAAAAGGGAAGCAAAATTTGCAAAGTTCAATTTATGGTGAAAAGTAGGTCAAAGGTCAATTTCAAGGTCACAGTAAGATTGCCAGTATATGACTTCCTATTCAACTTTTATAGTAACTATGGACCTATCTCTGCCAGTTTTGGAGATATAAGGGACTAAATGTTATAATCAGGAAAAATTAATTAAAATAAAGAAAAGGTCATTTTGGTCAAAAATTCTTGAAATGGGAGGTGCTCTGAAGTTCCAGACGTTCAAANATTTTGGTCAAAATTCTTGAAATAAGATGTGCTCTGAAGTTCCAGATGTTTAAATTTGATGAAATAATGTCATTTTTGACCACAAGTTGTCTGCTTTGCCAAGCCTTATGTTTTATTTTTCCGGAGTTCAAAATTTATTATCCATTACCGTACTGCACATTTTGCTTTCACACCAATATGTACTTTTTGATACAGCATAACTTTGGAGATAAAAGGGAAGCAAAATTTGCAAAGTTCAGTTCATGGTGAAAAGTAGGTCAAAGGTCAATTTCAAGGTCACAGTAAGATTGCCAGTATATGACTTCCTATTCAACTTCAATAGTAACGATGGACTTATCTCTGCCAGTTTTGGAGATATAAGGGACTAAATGTTATAATTTGAGAGTTACCATAATGTGCCATAAATTTCCTACGAAAAAAATTAATTAAAATAAAGAAAAGGTCATTTTGGTCAAAATTCTTGAAATGAGAGGTGCTCTGAAGTTCCAGATGTTTAAATTTGATGAAATAATGTCATTTTTGACCACAAGTTGCCTGCTTTGCCAAGCCTTATGTTTTATTTTTCCGGAGTTCAAAATTTATTATCCATTACCGTACTGCACATTTTGCTTTAAGTACCCTGTCCCTTTGGGAATGGTATTTAAAACCACCACTAGAGGGACGCTTAGGCTGCAGGCTCGGGATTGGTCAGCCAGATCACGTGGCGCATTCAAAATAATTGGCAGTTAGAGCCTGGCAGCCGTTAAAGCTGGACAGCGTGTAAGGGCGCTCGAGCCCATTTTTGCATCAATTAGAATCGGCTTAAGCTTAAGCGTCGAAGATTTTTTGTTTTTGTTCTTTTCTTCCTGACAATGGCGGAAGAATTCCAGTCTTGGGTGGAGGCTAACGAGCTCTCGGAAGACACGGTAGAAATCCTAAAGGATGCAGGATTCTTCTCACTCAGGAGTTGCAAGAAACTCACAGAGCCTCTCATTCAAAGACACTTCGGTAAATCTCTACCGCTGGCTCAGATCCTCCTTCTCCAAGATGTGGTGCTTACTCTACAGCAAGAACATAGTGCTCAGCCACAGAACAACCAGAGTCTAGGTACGTCAAACAGTGTGTCTGCTGCAACCTTTACTCCCGAATCTGGCGACAAGAAAACCCAAGACGAGGCCCCAGCCATTTTGCCAGGGACATCCGGGACCTCAAATATGGCGGCTCCTAGCGCGCAAACTGAAACAGGAAACACCGGGGACATCGATTACACCAGGCTATGCCAACTACTAGACATTGGGAACGGGAATGGGAATCAACCAAACAGAGGTCATCAGAGAGATCACGACGGTAAGGGGATTTTTGATCCTTTTTCAACTCCAGATAGACAAAGAAAACTTAACAAGCATCGCGACATACGTAGCTATGTAATGTTTGCAGACAAATTTGAAGGGAAAACTGACACACCAGTCCGCATTGGCGATTTACAACTTTCCCTCTCCGACAGAAAACTTCCCCTGGAGCGCATTTCCCCACTTCAATACACAGAAGCGTCAATGAAAATATTAAGGGAAATGGTGGCCGACGACGGTGCGGACATTCAAACAGTCATGGACTACTCCAGTTACGTGACAAAAGTGGCATGCATGGGACAATCTTTTAATTGGCAATCAGTCTTACGCTTCGACGCAGAGTATAGGAAATCTCAGAGCGAGATGGGATTTCCATGGGGAACAGACAGCCCCTTTCTCATGCAGGTGTTATTGAAACCGAATTCAACCCAACCAACAACCAGAGGGAAGCAAACAAAATTGGACACAGCGACGGGCCGACCCATTTGTATGAAATTTAACGGTCGCCAGGGCTGCTCCTTCCCTAACTGCTGTTATGCTCACGTGTGTGTAGCCTGTTCCAGTACTACTCATGGAGAATACACGCACAAGCAGCAAGGGACCAGTGCCACAGCAAGAAATCCTTCACATTGACAAACGCACGCCCCAAAAGAATCTCCGCTGCACCGAAACATTGAAAAATGGGAAAAGGAACTACAAGGAGATACAGACTATGATTTTATAATTAATGGTATTCGGGAGGGCTTCCGAATAGTCGACGATTTAGATCTGGATCACATCACGAGAACTGAAGTAGAAAACAGTAGATCCGCCACTTGCGAAGCTTTCAAGCATAAAGTTGAGACTCAAATAAAAACAGAAATAGAGGAGGGTCACTATATTGAACCAGAACTCCAGCCTACAATTATTAGTGCAATTTCCGCAGTGCCAAAACCAGACGGCGGCATCCGTCTGATTCATGATTACAGCAGACCTGAAGGGGCAGCAGTAAACGATTACGCAACAAAACAAACATTTCGATACGAGACTATACGGTCGGCACTGGATAAGATTAAACCAGGAAATTTCCTCAGCAAAGTTGACCTCCACTCAGCTTATAGAACTGTCGCGTTACACCCTTCCCAGTTAACCCTTACTGGGCTTAAATGGAACTTTGCTGGATCAACTGAGCCAAGGACTTTAGTGGACACGAGACTCCCATTCGGGGCCCGCAAAAGCCCCGAAATTTTCCACCGGTTAACACAAGCGGTAAAGCGGATGATGGAGAAACGAGGCTTCCACGTCGTAGTTTATTTAGATGACTTTTTGGTTATAGGAGAGACATTTGAACAATGCAAGCAGGCTTATAGCACATTAATCAGTCTTTTGAGACTCCTGGGTTTTCGCATCAACTGGAAAAAAGTCTGTGACCCAACGACTCGCCTAACGTTTCTAGGCATCGTCATAGATACTGTTGAAGGTGTACTCTCTTTAGAGGAACAAAAAGTTCGCGACTTACTCCGCTTGATCCAAACATTTCAAAGCTGCGTGCGCGCCAGCAGACGTCAGCTTGAATCCCTGGCCGGGAAGTTAGTCTGGGCATCGAACGTCATCCCATGGGGTAGAACACACGTGCGAAATATATTTAACTCCATAGCTTCACTGAAAAGAGCCAGCCATAAGTGCAAGCTAAACCCATTACGTAAAGACCTCCTCTGGTGGAGCAAGTGGCTCACCACGGGAAACAATACAAAACTAATATGGGACGCGCGACCGATTCAACAGGTGTATACCGACTCCAGCATCACAGCAGGTGGAGCGTTCTACTGCGGAGATTGGTTTTACACTAACTGGATGCAGGACGCTCCTCACCAGTTAGGGGTTGAACACATTAATGTCAAGGAATTAGCATCCATCGTCCTGGCTGCGTACAGGTGGTCCCCGCTATGGAAGGCACAACGCGTCATTGTTTACACTGATAGTGAAGTGGCCATGAACATTTTAAACAAAGGGGCTTCGCCCAACACCGCCTGCAACAACCTTCTTAAGGAATTATCTCTTCTAGCGCTGAAATATGACTTCTCAATTTATGCGATCCATATAGCCGGGGAAGAAAATAAAATGGTCGATTCCGTGTCACGAATGCATGAGCCAGAACATTGCTCTCGTTTTCTCGAATTAGTCCATCACTGGTATTTAAGCTTATACAGGCAGTCGCCAGTGTATTTTCTGCAGGACCATATGACTAATTCCTCTTTTTCTTTTCTTTATCCCAGGCTCCGATAGACTGAGACAACAACTAGATAATGAAGTGAACTTCTGGAGAGCTCAACTTTTCTCGGCCTCTACTAAATCAACTTATAGATCACATCTAAGAGCTTATATCAAGTTCTGTGAGGAAATTAACTGTAAACCAATTCCTATATCCCCCGCCAACATCTGCAGATACGCTGCTTACCGGGCATGATCGTGCGCATTCTCATCTCTTCGGCAGTACCTAAACATCGTCCGGATCATCCACACGGATTTCGGACTTCCTAACCCTCTGTGTTCCTGGGAGCTGAAGACGACTCTAGGTGGTATAAAGAGACACAAAGGGGATCCGGGCTCTCAGAAAGCACCCATCCTACCACCACAGCTTTTAAGCCTACGATCATTCCTCAACCTGAACGATTTAGAACAAGCACAGACGTGGGCAGCTTGTCTGATCGCTTTCTTTGGAATGCTCAGAGTTAGCAATATTACGGCCAGGTCTCAGACAGGGTTGCAACTCATTAACATACGGGTTGATGTACTGTGTTGAAGTAGTTAACGTTTACTGTAGTTATGTAATTTTATGTAAACTTTTATGTAGTTTAATAAACTTTTAAGCCCGATAGTGGTTCTGGTTTTAAAATCATCACTATTAGTTTAAGTCCTAACCATAATTTTTGTTTTTGATTTTGACAAACACAAGGTTAACTTTGGAATCCACAATTGAATTTTAGGGCCCCAAATGGAGGTGACAAAAGTAAAAAGAAATCTGTTTCTGGGTGAAGATGTTGCGGGTCAAACTTTCAAGGCTAAGACTAATCGTTTGGAGAGGCGCCACACCATGGCAGCGATTCCCACCAATGCATCTCATACCCCTAAGAAACATTCCACTCCTAGGAAACAAACGCCTGTAAAAACTCCCAGGAAAACCCCTAATAAGATGAACACGCCTAAGAAGGTCAGTCCCAGACATGCTAGACACTCCAGGAAAGCAAGATCAAGACACTGCAGTGGACATATAGTCAAAGGTAGGGTGGGAAACAACTGTAGGGCATTATGTCTGAGCAAATGGCTATTGTAATCCTTATTCAGTACAAATGTGTTGTTTAAGGACTGTGATGTTGTCATGTTATGAAAAAGTATACTGTGGTAATGAAACTATATGGCAACAATACTTAGATTATAAAAACTCACATGTTCACCTTTTAAGTCTACTTATTTTACATTTCAGCAATAATGAAAAATCATCATTATGCCTATCAAGCATAATGTGTACTGTTTATTTATCATTACATCATTTTAACTGTAATATGTTCCAAAGCCCACTCATTAATTGATGTCATTGTTATCCTAATTTGGCTTTATTATAGAGCACCACATCCTGAAGACCAAGATGGTCAGTGAAACCCCCAGACACAAGCAGGTTGCCATGGCATTACGTAAACAAGAAAGACAACAATCAGAGACACTACAAGATGTGGTTGTAGTTGAAGAATCTCCAGAGAAAGATCTCCTTGTAAAAAGTAAGTCGTACCCTTTTAATTAAGATGATATTGGAAGCTGTGTATATATATATGTTCATAAGTAGTTCAGGAACTTCAGATTTTACCTTATATTTAGAAACCATTGTGTACAAGTCAATAGGTATGTATGTTTGGACAGCCCCTGTGAGTGAAATCACAAGAATGAAAGTTTCATTTTTAATACTGAGGTTTTCACCACCATCATCCTGGCAAGCTTCAGGTGACTGATGTTCTTCATGATTAACTTTTTATCATTTTTGTTTAATGTATTAAACAGTAATGATAGTTATTATCTGATTTTATTACAGGTGCAGATTTAAATGCAAGTTCACTGCTGAATGGCAGTCAGAAAGTGAAATGTAAAGTCCAGGGGAAGTCTATCTTGGCCAGGAGAGGGTCTTTCTATTCCGAGGCATCCAGAACTTTACAAAAGCACAGAGAACTAGCAAAAAGAATTGCAGGTCATCAGCCTGTGATTCCTCTTCATCCAGAAATGAAACTAAAATTAAAGACACCAGTGAGGAAGAGGGGTGATTTCTTGCTTTCTCAAATAAGGAAAAGTAGTGAAAAGAAGATTGAAAATGCTGGAGAATCTCAGGATCTAAAGAAAAGTACCCCAGACAAAACTGGAAACTGCACACAGGTTACAAATAGTACCACTGCTGTCACTCCGAGGAGAGCAACCAAGAAAGCACTGTTTCTTTCTCCAGTTAGAACCCCAACAAGGACAAAGACTCCAACACCTAGAAGTTCAACCCAGGAAGAAACCTCTTGCCACACCAGTCTAACTCCAAGAAAAACACCCAAGAAAACAGGCACTCCAAGTTCTGTAAAGAGAGCAGTCTTCAATAAACTGGCAACCACTCCAGTGAAAACTTACCAAGAGACACCTGTTTCTTGTTCTACGAAAGTATCCAATGTTTGTATATCTGAAACACCTAGTAAACTAACCAACCCAGATTTTGTTTCCCCAGCTAAACAAACTGAATTTGAGCGGCTGACATGGGTGAGCACAACACCCCAGAAGGCTGGTAGTGGTATCAGTTTAGAGCAATCTTCATTTGCTGATACACCAAGCAAGAATACCAGATCAAGGACAGAAGTGGGACAATATGATGAACTTGGTGACAAAAATGGTGCATCTAGGTGTCAGACAGATGAGGGGTTATCAGACATTCACAACAAGGAAAGTAATGCTTTAACAGAGGCAGTAAAGCCTGCTAAATTAAAAGTGGAAAGGCAATGTGCAACAGACAGTGAACAGTTAACAGAACTTGACACCACAAACCAAAGCAAAACATCAAAAGTGCATCGAAAACAATCAGAAAGGCGGGCTGCCTCAAATTCTACAAAATCAAGGAAAAAGTTGGACAGTTCTTCAGGCGTGGAGAGTGAAAATGATACCACTCCTATGAAAGGTCAACTGTCAATCAAAACCTTTCTTCAGCACACTCCTCCTCAAGAGACTTTACTGTCGTCTGCCAGCCCCTTCACCCCTCCACCCATCAGAGTGCAAACAACCCCAGATACATTTGACAAATGGCACAGGAGGAAGTCTAGGCATGGATTGCATTCACCAGCAGCTGTGAAAACTAAAGCTGCTTCGAGTATATTTAATACTCAGCCTTGCCAAGCAAAGGAGACAGGAAGCAAAAGGCAAAAAAGTAGAAGGTCGATCAGTAATGGCCCTTCACCATCACATGCCAACTTGGGCAACTATGGCGAGGGTAATGTTATTGCAAAAGATGATGATTCAGAAACTGCAGAGAAGGGATGCAAGGACAATTCTATGCTGTCTCAAAATCAAAATGAAAACAGTTCTCTTTCTTTTCATGACTACATGGTATTTCTCAGCCCCAGTCATAGGAAAACCAGAAAGGCTGCACAGGAAGGGAAAATGAGTGATGATGAAAGTGTCATCCATTTCAAAGCTGCTGAAGACCAGGGGTACAGCTTATTTGATCCAGAGTCTGCAATTCAGTATAATATAAATGTTGCAAAACAGGTCCTTAAGTCAAGTAATGAAATTTCAGAAGGAACTACAATTGAAAAAGAAGTATGCAGAAAAGATATACAGGAGGCTGAAGAAGACTCACTTTTATCAAATAAGGAGTTTGCTGAGAAAAGGCGGGTCCTAAAACATCATAGCAGGTCATTTGACAGCCAGTCATCTAAGGAAAGCTTTAACACACAAGGATGGTTGCCAGAGAGAGTGAGTAGAGGACATGTTAAGGATACTGTAGTTGAACCCCACCAAACAAAGCGTAGTCCACCAGTTCTAGCTGGTGACATATGCAGGGATGTCTCCTCGGATGACTCATTGAAAGAAAATAAGGTGCTTAGTAGAAAACGTACATGGACATCTCCAAATGAGATGAGAACGTCCAAAAGGCTGCGCACTAACACTCAATCTTCCCATTTTGATACAGAGGACAGTTCTGACAGCATTTCAATGGAAAGTGGAGATGAATTTCTTAATGAAAATGAGACAAATTCGACCTTTTCCTATAGTAGTCATAAAAGGGCGGTGATGGTGCAAAACACTACAAATTCTGATTTACTCCTTGATGGAGTTGAGGCTGTTGGATCACCAGTGCATCAGCGAATTTACAGCTTGAGGAAAGGGCGCTTGAGATCATTTAGTAGTGACGTTTGTCACATTGTCAGTGGTAGTTCCCATCACTGCGATGAGTTGAACAGTAATGTGGAGAATAGCATAAGTAAACCCTACATTCAGTCAAGCAAAGGAAAGTCGGTCAGTGATGTTGCCGATTTACAAACAGCGAGTCCCCAGGGATCAGAAAAGCAGTCTTCTCCTAAATATTCGCCAGTGTCAGCAATAGGCCTGTTGGGTTTGATGAATTCCCCCATAATTAATACTTCTAATGTAGGTGCAAAACTGGAAGTCAACAAGGTCGGGGAGAGTGAGCAAAGACCCAGATCGCGTAGGACTTTGAACATGAAAAGTGCCAATAACTGACATTTACTTCATTGAATTGACAATTGTTGTGGTATTTCTAGTAAACACGTTAATGAGCAGTTGATTGGAAATTGTGAATTTTTATTTGCTCATATTTCAGACCGTATCTAGTCTTACGTGTTTAATTTATAATATTTATTCTTATATGTTTTCTTTATTTCTTTGTATTTGAACTTCAGAATAAGAACATACTATTGACTGTAATTGAACCAGTGCATTTATGCAAATAATATTTTAAAGCCCTTTTATTACAGAAATAATGTGGTTGATAAGAAAAATTGATACTCTACCCCTGGTCGGAGAGAAATCGAGAATAAGTGGCACAAATACTCCATGAAGCAGATTTTTGATTGTGCTTTCGTATTTTTTAATGACAGTCTTCACCTGCATTCAGTGCTCTGTATAATCGTTCGTGAAGTATAATTTCGGTGCCCGGTTGGCTTTACAAATGCTGGGAAAGTTGTCACGAAGATTAAAAATTGTGATAATGCAGTATTGGCCCAAATATTTATCAGACCTTTATCGCAACTTTTATCACAATTTGCTGTCTACTGTTTCCTTTCGACCAAAACGCCAGTGAAAGTTTTTAGTATCTTTTTTTTAATATCGTCTTGCGCGAACGAAATCCACTGCCGTCTGTCGCCTTGAACGGTTGCACTTTTTAAGGTGTGGTCTCTAGTTACCGGGGCTTTTATTTTTAAAACTTTATTAAATATGCGAAACTAGTTTCGATCTAGAAACGTCATGCACATCTCAGTTAAAGCAGGGGTTTCTAATTACGTTTTAACGGTGTGGGGGAGGCTCTAAAAAGTCATTGTGTGCAATGCGGCGATTAAAAATGTTAGTGATCCAAAATAAAAACTTCCCCATATAAGTATTGAATTCCTTATTAACAACTATGTCTGAGCATGTAAACGCAAAAAAAAAAAAAAAGAGGGGTTGGCTGATGTAAGCGTCGTGTTAACTGTTATTTGCTCTATAACTTGGGGAGTCGGGGGTCAGTGTCCAGAAATAAAATTTCAAACAAACACTTGGTGGGGCCAGTAGACTAGGTTATGCAATTAAAAGTATAAATATTGCACGAATTTGTATTGAATAGTTTGGTTCATATTACTATATAAATGAAGTGCATTAGGGAATGGCTCTTTAACCTGCGCTTTCCATTTTCCGCACAAACTGGTGCATAATAGACCAACAATACACATTCAAATCTCTCGGCTGAGAGACCGTATTGTGTTACTTGTTTACTAATATTTTGAGTTGGAATAGAGTTTTACGATCCCTTCGTTTTCATTGTCGTAGATTTTCTTCAGATAAATGGGTTCCTTTATGATGCCTTCTGCATAGCTCGGTGATTTTCAAAAGTTTTCGTAAGCCCAACAACACAACAAACGGTGAATGGTGGGTCTTTATGCCTCAATTTGTTAAGGTCGCGTAGGGGACCAGTTGCTTTTGTATTCTAACTGCGGCATTTGTGAGTTGCATTGCCATTTAGAGTCTCCTTGTAGGGCTTACAAAACAGCGGTCTTGACTTAGAACACTCAGAAGTAGAATGCTTTGAAAAAATCGTGATAACCCAGAGATTTTTCTGGCTGCAGGGGGCAAACCATAATTACAAACAATTTACACCTTAAAAAACAGCGCAGAGTAGTCATTTGACGTACGATTTGTACTGGTCTACTGAAAGACTACTTGGGACGACTAAGGATTTGTATTGACGGCAAAAACTGAGGTTTTGACCACAAAATCTCCGCACAAAGGAAGTATCAGGTAACCGCTAGGTAAACTTGTTGCCATTGAAGACGGAAACCATTAACATGGAGCAGGCCTAAGCTTTCCGCCAGCGTTCCCCCTTGGGAATACATCGGTATAGATTTTTCCATAGCAACCTAAAATTGTGCGGAAAAGCTGTTCATTTTGTATCTCTTCAAAAGGTTTGTAAGGACTTAAACGGACGATTCCAAACATGTAGAAGCAGAAAAGTGAGTTTTTAATGCAATATGAGGAACTTGTATTCGGACGTGAACAAATCTACAATGCGGGTGTCTCTGGTCCTACCGCAGGTGACAGTACAGGACGGCACGATGATAGGAAACCCCAGGAAAGTGGCGGTATGTTTCTAGGATTCAATCAAGTCGTTATATTTATATTCCAGATGCATATAAATATAACGACTTGATTGATATTATATTTATATTCCAGATGCATATGTTTGTTATATAGCAACGTTCGTTTTAATGAAATTTTTTCGATGAATCATCAGTACTTTAACTTTCAATCTTCGAATTTAAACTACTTTTACAAACTCTGTGAGCTATGCAAAATAATCAATGCAGCTCTTTGGTCAACTTTATTTTTAATATACCTAAAAGCCTAATGTCTTTCAGATTTCTTTTAGAACTGCGTTCAATATCAACACTTTATTTGTGAAAAATGGCATTTATTTTATGAAAATTTTAATGACACGAAAGACTTTCGTATACAACTGAACTACTACCGATATGCCGATATGGGCTCATGCTCAGCAAAACAGAAAATACCTAGTTAAAATGTCTGCTATTCAACCCTCTGAACCATCAGTGGACAGAGGGTTCAAAAATTAAATTTATTTTTCGACATTGTTCAGTTTTCTCTTTAATTATTAACACAAAAGAAACTATTAATACCTAAATTCCTTTCATTTCTAATAGCACCACAAGACGAAGCTTTTTACGTGGAAGATCTATGAACCACATGGTATCAACGGAGGAGATCCACTGTATTTACCTAAACTGAAACCAAGCATTCCCCTGCACATTAAGCTACAGAACAAACATAGCCAGCTACCAAATATTGAAAAGGAGGAAAAGGTGGAATTTTCTGTCTTTTTATTTTTTGGCGTCTAATTCCCATTTGAGGGATTAGATATCGTAATCGATATTTCCTTTTGGCTTCTCTTTTGGATTATAATGTTTAAATATTTGAAAACAAGAGTTTTTATAGGGCATCGGTGAGCTTTAACCTGATCTTATACTTAAGCTTTTGTATATTTCAAACGGGTATATATTACAAACCAGAACAAATAAAAATCAATACAAACACATCTTCTATAGTAAAACTCAAATTGTTTTATCTTTAGTTTAACAAAAATTAAGTTGTTATGCATTAGAAATCTTTGTAACTCGCATGATGAGTACCCCTGCACATTCATTCGTACAAGAGTACAGTGAACGAATAAAGGTATAGGCCCCTATTACTTTAGAAATTTTGCTGACAGAAAGATCAAAACTTCGAACTAATGATCTTTTTCATTATCAGGCATTTATTAAGCTTTTTTCTTTTAATCCAGCATTGGTCGAGCTTTTATTTGTGGGGGTGGCTGAGGAAGAGGGGAGGAGGTTACGTATACGTGAAACGCTGTTGAAAGAAAACCTTATTTTCACTTTTGAGTACACTGACTAAATATAATTTGTACTTACTTTTAATTTCTTTTTCTGATTCAGGGGTTGTTATATAAATCGAAGTTGTCTGAAGGATTCAGTCGCCTTCCCAAAATGAAGAAAAAACAGAGCAAAATAAGATATCAGCAAATTACTTTTCAAAAATCTCTCTACCCAAAAGGACCAAAGGAACCATACCTCACTGGATATTTATTCCGGAACCAAACCATGCCCATCATAAATAATAAGCCATCAAAGCCAAAGCCACAGCTGGTTTACACTAGTAATGAGGATCTGCCACAAGGCGATCCAAGTTTTATCACAGAGGGACGCACGGACAACACTGTCGAGGAACACAATCAGCCTTCTCATAAGATTGAAATCGAAGATGAAAATAAGGAAATAGACGCTGTAGCAGCAGCAACGAAAGAGAAAAATGACAATTTTTTGAAGAATTCTGAACCACAAAAAGAAGATGAACTACTCAAATTGGAACCTCACTTTGAAAAATTACCCACTTCAATTGAAAGTGAAAAACTTTCCAAATCCTTAGAAAGTGATAAACTTGCAAGGTCAATAGAGAGCGAAAGTATTATCTTTCCGACGCTAGATCTCTTTAAAGAACTAACGGGATCGTCTGCCATAGATTTGGGATATAACCTCAAGACTTACGCAGGGACCAGACCGCCAAAAACGACACAAAGTTTGAAAGGGTTCAGACCCCCTCGCACACAGGAACGGCAACTCCATCAGTACCAGGATTCCGAGGATGCAGACAAAGTGGCAGATGATCTAATGACAATGGTGACCGTCAGTAAAATGACACCGTGCTCCAGTTCCCGTGGTCGATACACAAGATTAAGCAGTAGATATGACGCTCCTTTGGAACAAGAATGATTTGAAATGTACACTGTACGTAAGAGAGTCGTATATACAGCCCCAAAGGTCGTCTATTAAGTATTTATGCCACGGTTTGGTACCGAAGAAAAATAAGTAAATCAATCGAATAATCAATTTCCATTCTTAAGTTTGTAAATGGGTTAATTTAGTCGTGAGCGCGCACTTTCCCAGTAAAGGTTGGGTAAGTACATGTAGATGTCATCTTACTGATACTACATGTATCTCTTTAGTGCGAGTCTGGACCAAAAACAACCCCTTAAACAAACTACGTGAAAATTTAATAGCACGTTTCTTATGCTTGTAAATATATACGTGCAGTAAGACACGATTTTAATTTCAAATAAAAATACATTACTTCATATTTAAAGCGCTTAATTGCACCTCAGGATGAACAGTTTGCAATATCGCACGAATCTCAATTAATTGTGTTCTCAGGTGAAGCTATGTTTCACAATAAGTCGATTTTTGCTTCTGGGGAATGTCTCTTGAAATATTCAGGCGAACAGTTGGAGGCCAATGTGAAATACAATCTGTGAAACGACGGGTAATACACTGACCAAGCAGGTAATAAACCGCTTTTTAAAAAATCAGGTCAAGATTTTTTGTCATTTCTTTGGTCGACACGATTATTTTTTCTGTTTATATTTCTCACTTTTGTATCAACGTAATGGGCACAGGACACCTACCAAACTTATGTTAGAACACATTACTGTGAGATGCTTTCTATGACGCATAATTTCAAAAGATTTTATAATTTATTTCAGCATTTTCATCTGAGTCGATTCTTATCCAAATCCAACTTTTGTACATGTACATGTAGATTTACAGAAAATTGCATACACTTTGCTCTTGTACATAACAATACAAAAATAATTCTATGATCTTCAGTGAATTAAAGTATCTTCTGAAAAATGTGAACCACATTTTCAGCAAAAAAGGGGAATTTCTATTTAAAGTGATGATGCACATCAATCCAAGTTTATTAAAGCCTCAATGTCCCTTTCTTATTTAGTTGTAAACTTGTTGCTCTTTGTCACAATCCTAAGTCTCTAAAAACACCAAAATTGAGTCAATGTTGCAAATTTTAGCTGATTTTGTTTTCTGTGCCTGTACATGACCTACAACAGTAAAATTAATGTCTTTCATTACTTTTCTGCATACATGAGCTCATCCCAGACTAGTTAAAACATCTCATACAATCTGTTCATAATAATACATAAACACACCATTATATACATAAATGTAATATACGGCAGCTTAAAACTACATATTACTTCCCCAGGGTTGTCACAGACAACAATAAAAAGAGCTGATTCACTTGCACTCCAAAAAATGTGACTTAAATACGTTTTGCCCCACAAAATAGAGCGTTTGCACATTTGTTAAATATGGATCAATATTCTGAGTCTGATCAGTGCATGATTGGAACCTATATTTCATCTATTTTGAAATTAACTCCCATCACTGTCAAACTGACAAACTCTGCCCTATCAATGTAGGAAACATTTGCTGGCAGCACTATGCTGGCAGTGACTGCAATATTATCCAGAATTAAATACTATTTAATAGAGTGATATAACAAGTACAACATCTTTTCATCTGAGTCAACTCAATGATCCCAATAATAGGGACAATCTATCAATAGCCTCTGTATATCAAAGTGAAACAAATATGATGACTATCTTTCACATTTGTATTTATAAACATAAAGTAGAGTAGCCTAGACAGGCAAAGTGGGGTTGACAGATATCAAACAAAATATGGTAGTATAACCATGATCAAAACTTCCAAAAGTATAGTTCTTGTTTTTTGTTTCCACATATGGATCTGTTTTGCTATAATCTGGCAAAAAGTTGTAGCCTGTTTCTCCGTTTCCAAAGAAGCCAAATAATGGAGTTCTAGGAAAAAGCTTTCGGAATATATCAGCCTCCACATTTGATTTACGATAAAAATAATATCCTCGGCCGAGGCAAGCAAACATGAATGCAAAACTGTTTTCTTCTGAAATGTTGCAATCTTTCAGTTTCTTTATTTGACATTCTACTTCCTTAGGATCTCTGATATGGCTTTCTACCATAACACTGGCTGCTTGAACATTATCTCCGCTAAATGCAATACCTAAGATACATGCCTCATCTTCGCTGAAAAACAAAAACAAAAAAAAGCAATTTAAGAAGGAACTACATCTAAATAAAGCAGAATATAAATGATGCAATCAATTTGAAGCAATGGGCTACTTTAAAATGGTTTCTCAAATCTGGACAGATCCAAGGATAATATACATATTTTTTCTTCAATACCTCTTTTTATCCAAATCAGGGGCAATGATGTTGTCAACTTTGCCACCAGCAATAGCAATGTCTCTGTTCAGGCTCCAAAAACAATGTGCAGCATCAAAGGGGACATCATATTCAGATGCCTGCAGCAGTATCATTGCCTTAATGTGCTTATCTTTGGAGATTCCTGTCATGTTTTCATAGTCTTCTTTTGTGGGAAGATTTTCTGAATCATAATCTAATATTAGAACAAACAAAAATATATTTAAAACTTAAGAATACCAATGACTAAAAAGGGCAAATCTGTTAATACACATTATCAGATTGACAATAATGTTAATATACATCTACCACTGATTTTTTTAAAAAGGCAAAGATTTATTGTTATTAAGTTTGACTCTACCTTATGTTTATTCACTGAATTAAGTGATTTATGATTAATAACACTTAAAATATTTTACCAAATGGCAGGAGAAAATGATGCACTTCCAACCCAGGAATTTCAGGTATAAATGCTATAGCACAACCAGGACCACTTTCTATTTCCAAGGATGGTCCCAAACTCATGGGGGTGCCTGGAATATTGCAAAATCATTAACATTTACTGTATATACTGTACTAAAAGGGTAGTCAAAACTGAAACTGAAAAAAAAAAAATTAAACAAAGCACAAGATCAAGTTCACCATGCCAAAAACTTACTAATATTTTATGGATATCTTACTCAAGTCAATCTAAATAGATTTAGTGAAAATACTCATTGTATAAAATTATGGAAAATATACTTTTAAAATAATTAATTTGTTGAAAACAAAAATGTACAAACTCAGACCCACATTTTAGATAGAAATATAACAAACTGAAATAAACAGCAAATTAAACTTAGTGTATTCAGTTAGTTGGCTACGTAAAAATAAAAATTGGTTCTAAAAACAGTCTCCGTTTAGTTAACCAAATATTCAAGTCTGAGCTGTGGTGGGATCACCCAGTAATCCAAGCATCCACACAGCTGCACTATGGCCACTATGTAAGAGTTCTCACAGTATCAGTTTCTCCTCACCTATGGCTCCCCCCGCCACTGCACCCAGAATTGGGCAGTTTGAAGGTAATCTCTTATTGATGTATTCCTCAATGGTTAGCTTATAACTGCTCCATCGTATTTTCTTGTTTGATTTAGTAGGCTTTACATTGGACGGAGCTTCACAGCTCATCGGGATACTAACTTTTTCCCAGGTTTCATTGTTGACAAACATTATTGTCACCTTAGGTGGCAGAGGAAGCCACTGCAAAAACAAAAAATTTTCACTCTTGATAAACTCAAGCAGCATAATACACTTACAATAGACTCCCATATACACATAATGTATTTTAGCCACATACGTTCTGAAAATATTTTTTAAGGAAAAACATATCAATATAGCACCATTTAGATTTAAAAACAAAAAGAAAATGAATAAAAACAATAGTAAAAATGGAAAGATTAAAAGACAATAACAACATAGAATATCATTCATTAAAATTTCTATAATAACCTGTATCCTCTCTCCTGTAGCATCCTTAAACTGCCTACATCCTTCCAGCTTTACAGCTTTAAAGGAGCTTGGTCCACTCTTGTCTTCTCTGTGCCAGCCATATAAAATGGGTTGCACTTTTGGAATACGGTTCTCAAGAATTCTGTCTGCTATTTCTTTCCAGTTTCTACAAACCCTGAAAACAGAAGAAATGAAAAAAAAATCTGACACCTGTCTACATTTCTAGAATTTTTTAATTAAGACAAGAAATTCAACAGATATTGGCAATAACAATTCTTTAAAACCCCAGCACAAGCAAAAACCTATTACATTGTAGCTGGTAGAGGAGACAATTGCTTGGTGTCCAAATAAAACAGCTAGTTTTGTTGATTTGGCATAAGTTGTAAAATGCAAAGTCCCACAAAAATTCATCAAAATAAGAATTTCTAAGTCAACATATCTTTGAACTTGAAATTATTACTTTGGTATACCTATTTTTTAAAAATAATTTTGAAGTTTTAATTATTTGGCAATTATTAGTAGAATAACAGTGGCAATAAATACTGGGTATCTGAGACATACATGTCTGATATGTAACTATTTGGGCAATGTATATATATTTGGGCAGGACAAATGGGCTGGAGAAGTATTGCGGATACTATTGATAACAAATGCAAAGGCAAAGCTATTGAAATGACCAATTTGATGGCTTAACCCCAGTACATGATACATGCTGCCCCATACATGTAACACTACAAATGGTACAAGGTGTACTTACAGTACAACTTGACTTCCTATGTGTGAATTTTATCAAACAATGGCTTCCTCTGATTGAATTAATACTACATCATGTATGAAAGTTTTAAAAATACTATCTAAACTTTTTTCTATACTGTGGTTCCTGACATGCTCTTACTTCCTCTTGGGTACCATTTTGATGATATAGGAAAGGTCAAGTGAAAATTTTAAGTGCAACCCTTTTAACTGATTCTTTTAATTCAGCTAAGTCAGGCAAGACAAAATACAGACCTACCCAACTGCCAGACTCAACACCGAATGATCCAGAATTCACTGGTAGATCGGACCACACTACCCCTTTTCAAGGTGTGGGTCAGTACTCACTATGCAGTATCAGACACGACACCACTCTTGCCTAGTATGCCATATGATATCAATGATTCTGAGCGGGGTTGGAAAGTAGTGCATCTCATCTCAAAATTTGTTCCGGGGTATGATACTATGAAAAGTGAACTGATGCACACCTTGAAAACGACCTATCGGTGAATTCAGGATCATTCGCTGCCGAGTCTGGTTGTTGGGTAGACTTGAAATATAAGCCACATAGAAGAATAAGGACTCAGGTTTTTAACCAGCATGTCAGATTTTTGGGGAAATTTTGGCAAATATTTTTGTATTTTGTATTTTTTTTTTTTGCTACATGCCCCCCCTTCTTGTTCCCAATTTAGCCAATTAAATGATTAATTGTCAAACTCTACTGCATACACTTTGAAAGATACTCAGTACACTGTGTTAATGCATATTGCACAAGCCGGCATATGTGCCCCAAATTTTTATCACTTTGTCTAATTCGCAAACAAATAACTCTGCTTGGGAAAACGCTAATATCAAAATTTAAATTTGATACCACATCTTATGTGGTAAATTTCAAATTTCAAAGGCTGTATTCCCAGAGCTTTTAGATCGATCTATCCCTGCGGGGAGTCTCACTAGATTACTGTCAGATAATCCAGCTTAAATGTCCGTCCCGCCTATTACAAGCTGTAAGGGGGTAATTAACTTTCGTGTCCGCTCGGCTGACAGCTATTTAGTGTGAACTCCCAGGGAGTTAGGTCGATCTAAAGTAGATCGATCTAATCTCTGGAAATGGGGTCTAAGACATTTACGAGGTGAAAATCAAATGGGGAAACTTTTGACCTATTTTTGAAAGTGGCGTCTGAAAAAAAATGACGGGCATGGTGTCACTAAAACTTATTTAATTTTTGGTCTTAATGACCTGGATTAAAACTTAAAACGGTTTCATCATATCCAAATATGTGGCTATCTGTGCATTACATTACAAGTATCTAGCTCATTACTGGGGTAGAAAGAAGCGACTCTACTACTAGTACTACGCATGATTATAAAGAATTTGGATGAAAACACGTTTCCTAACCGTTTACAAACTTCAAGTGATGCACCAGGAAGAAACTGTAACACGTGTTCAATTATTTCAGTCCACTCATTCATAACACTTGTCAAATCGCACTGTTGTAGAGCACCAGAAACGCGTTGATTTCCTTCCATGATGTTGTTTATTATGAACCTTCTTCGGGGCTGTGTCAGAAGTTTTGGCAAGATACGCTTATTGCAAACGGCATTTAGTGTCTTTTTGTCATATGTTTTAGATATAAAATGATGCTAGAAAATTTAAATTATCAAAACTGTGACTCTGACTCAATTTTGACGACCTAATCCAATACTTTCACGCACCTGTTTAAAAGTTGGTGGTGATCTATCTTGAGTCGCATTCACCAGCGACATCTAACGGCGCCAGAAAGATGGGTGATCTTCCTGAAAGATTTTGTTACGTATATAGCTGTGATTTAGATGTGAATGTACAGCTTAAAATGTAAGTATAGACTTAAAATGCTGAGTTTGCCGTTAAGTTATTAGTTCATAGTCACTAAGAACGATAACTCTGCAAATAGCCCATTTTTGCTTCACCAAATTATCTTCTCAGCGAGGGCTCTTCCGAAGACACAGTCACTACACCACTGCTGCAGTGTGCATTGTACAGTCAGTGACACACCATTTAAACGGAGTTCTGTCATTCATTATGATCTCATACACTGAAATACTGTAAACGTACAGTTCAGATTTACGATAGTTCCTCTACGCTTTTGTGAAGATTTTAATTTGCACCATTTTAATTGGATTAGTTAAACATGATACAATTTCGTTAAACACATCAAGGATTAAATGCTATATAAAACACAGGCAGTCATTCATGTGAGTTTTTGATGCATTGACAGCAGTCTTCAATGAAATGCAACAAGCAATTATTTCGTAAAATGAGTATATGATGATTGCATAAAATAAAAGAAAATTGTTTTAAAGCTCTCCTGTTTTTAAGTGTATTTTATGTCATCTAAAATAAAAAATAATTAATAAATAAAAATTAAATTAGATTAAATTTACCTCTTTAATCCTGACAAACTGAACTATCTGTCAACAATCTAGATACAGTATTGCATTGCACAAAACCAGTGCTAGAACTAAGCCAAAGTTATGGCGGAATTTGAATAACCATTACTTATAAGCATAGATAAAGACTTTTTAATTTTCCCAGATTGGTATTTGGTGAGTTTCAAGAAAGGAGAATTGAAGGTTACTAAGATGAAGTAGATTACTGTTTATTCCAGGAAAATCTCTTAAGTACAAATTTTTAAGGCAAAAAGTATGACCCTGTGCATCTTAAACTGTTGTATGTTTTTCAGTGGTACTCTTGAAGGGAAGCGTGACAGGCCTGGATATAAGCAGTTGGTAAATGATCCATTGTTGAGGTTCTCTGGAGCCTGTAAGGACAGCTGCTCTGACCTGTATGTCACCTGCCAGGTGTATGCAGATGGCAAACCTCTCACTCTGCCAGTGAGGACAGCATACAAGGCATTCAGTACCAGATGGAAGTAAGTGCCACTACAAAAGCTGGGGTCAACCATGCTGACATGAGTAAATAGGAAATAAAAACACGTGTTGGACAAATTGGTGATAGATTGACTAAATTGTTTAAATTTTTATCTTTACTTATCATCTAGGTTGTATCATCCTTTTCAGTCAGAGAAGATTTTACATACAGCTGTTATGGGTAATTTTGTTTTAGTGTGAGGGGATTTACTTGTTGATGATTGAGTAGGTATTTAATAGAAAAATGTTTAGATTTTTTATTGTTTCATATTCTGTTTTATAGTTAGTGTATTAGGAAATGTCACTGCTATGCCTGTATAGAAAGCATAATTATAGTTTATTCATATGACCTGATGTGATCATTATGCCAACTTCTGCATATGACTCAGTCACATGCGTATTATATACTGGTCGGATAATTAACTGTGGTAGACAAACCAGGACAAAGAACACTCAACCTCAGTCTGGTATTATCAATAATTCCGTTGCATAGATATATATTAAATGTTCATTTCAGGCCCGTAGCCAGGGGGGTTTGGGGAGTTCGAAAGAACCACGCCTTTTGTTGGGAAAAGGTCCACTCTAAGTAAAATTTGATCTAGGTACATTAAGTTTTTATGGGAAAAGGTCCACTTTTTCAGTAAAAGAACCCCCTTTTTGAAATTGCTGGCTACAGGCCTGCATTTATTGCTTACCACTTTGTTCATTATAAACTTCTCATGTGAGATTGGCATTGAATAAACTTATGTGTGTGTTTTTATATTAGCATTTTACTGTTAGGTAGTTACCAAAAACATTTCATCTGATGTAAACTAAAATGTATGTTAAATTGTACAAGGAAACACAATAACAAGAACTTTATTATTTTCATTTTCCATCCATTTTCAGTTGGAATGAATGGTTAACACTGCCTGTGAAGTACAGTGATCTTCCTCGGAATGCCTTGGCCTGTTTTACAATATGGGATATCTATGGTCCCAGGAATGCCATTCCAGTAGGGGGAACCACAATGCCATTGTTTGGAAAACATGGGTAATTTAAAAACAAGGTTTCTTTGCATTTTAGATTTGTAGCTTTATCTGGGCAATTTTTTTTCTAAGAGTCAACAATTTTTAACAGTCCATTTTTTAAAATGGGTGTTATTTTGTAAAACCCATATAAGTCAGTTGAAAAAGGAAGAAATGAAATATTATGTGATTGCTTGCATATTTTAGTCTGTTTCACATTTAAAAGTCATTATATCAGTACATTGAAATCACTGCAACCCACAAAATTTGATAAATTATAGCTGGTATGATTACAAAAATACTTAATGTAAAAGTGTAAGGCTTGTTTTTTTTGGCATTTACAGAACTTTCCGTCAGGGAATGCATGACTTAAAAGTATGGCCAGACTTGGAAGCAGATGGCCATGTTGGTTCCACCACTCCAGGCAAGATAGATGGGTCAAAAGATGAAATGAGCAGACTGGCTAAGGTGTAGGATTAAANCTGGGGAGAAAACACTGTAATTTGAAAACAAATGGGCTTGAATGCATGATTTAAATAAAGACCATACATGCAACTCTCCCGCAACTCTCTTACAGTATAAAAAATTTCATCTTACATAATGATATGAAATAGTTCATCAAATATTTCACTACCACAGTTCACTGCTAACACTTCTTGCTTTATCAAATGAAGCTGAGGAAAACTTCAGACTTTCCACTTAAATTTCAGGATTTGCATGGTCAGTCAGGTACTTCTATATTATTAATGTTGTCACAGATTTGTACTACAGCACTTACCTAAGAAATACCAGGCCAGAAACTTCAGGGAGATCATTCTCTGGCGTGGCAGGTGGAACAAATGGACAGTGTCCACTATCTGGTCTTTAGGTACCTGGAAGGTGGATATCATTTCATTATTTTATGTCTTACTAGTACGAGTGTATCTTAGCATTTTAGAATTTGTAATTTTAAATCTATGCTTAAGAATATGGAGTCTTGACCTTTATATAAGATGAGCATGGAGCAGTTTAAAATTTATTTATCATCATCATAATAATAATATTAATAATTATTACTATTATTACGACAGTGACACAGTACACATATAATATACACCAGTATATACCTAGCAAATACCTAGCCATGTCAGCTGCTCTATTTCATATCATTCTTTTTCAGAATTCAATCATGTGTGTGTGTGATACAGAGCGAGAGAGAGAGAGACAGAGAGAACCAGGCACCACCTACCACCAAATTAATCACTCTGAAGTCCTTCTTCAGGCCGTGGCCCACAAAGACCACCCCAGTGTCCACCAAATACCTGAGCTTGATGTATGCAGACTTCAGCGTGGTCAGGTGCTTGGAGGACACTGTCACATCCAGGTCTCCAGGTTTGATGCCAGAAAACTGGGTCAAGTAATCTACTACCTAGCAACAGGAAGAAATTGGGTCAATCTCTTACAAGCTATCAGCAACATGAAAAGTGGGCCAGGTCATCTCATGCCTAGCAACAGTATAAAATTGGTTCAGCTTTGAACTAACAGTAAAGAACTGAGTGACACACTGGTGACAAAACTTTGAAATAATTTTACATACTAAAAATTTACAATGACAAAATTTATAACATTAATATATTTCTCTTTGTATTTTAGGGCTCTGCAACCTTTTCAAACACCTATTCAGATATAGAAAATTGTACTTACTTGTTCCTGAGTAGCAATATAATCATCTATAAAGGGTTCCCCCTCACCCTCTCCTTGTCTGAAATAATGCAGTCAACAAATCTTCTTTTAACTGGGAAAAAAACTACTTCAACTCTTCATAAATACTGAACTAAATAAGCAGTGAATATGATCCTTACACATACCCAGGTAGCTGATCTAATGAGCAATAAAGTAATTTATTGAAAAAAAAGCACTAGGACTTTTGTACCAGGTTTGACAGAAAAGTTTCATGTACTGCATTTACTTCTGTGATGTTCACTTTACCCTCCTATACAGGTAATCAAATACTTATTATTAAGTGAAGTCAGTCTTACCGTCTTATACAGGTAATCAAATACTTATTAAGTGAAGTCCGTCTTACCCTCTTCTACAGGTAATCAAATACTTATTAAGTGAAGTCTGTCTTACCCTCTTCTACAGGTAATCAAATACTTATTAAGTGAAGTCTGTCTTACCCTCTTCTACAGGTAATCAAATACTTATTAAGTGAAGTCTGTCTTACCCTCTTCTACAGGTAATCAAATACTTATTAAGTGAAGTCTGTCTTACCCTCTTCTACAGGTAATCAAATACTTATTAAGTGAAGTCTGTCTTATCCTCTTCTACAGGAAATCAAATACTTATTAAGTGAAGTCTGTCCTACCCTCTTCTACAGGTAATCAAATACTTATTAAGTGAAGTCTGTCTTACCCTCTTATACAGGTAATCCTAGCTGCAGACATTTGGGAGGGTTTGATAGTAGAACGTGTCCCATCACTTCTCAACTCTGCTTCTTCCTGCATGATAAAACAGATTAAGACAATTTCTGCCATAGATCAAGACACTGGCAGATTCTTGGAATATCTGAGGAATAAAAGTTCACTTTTGATCTCCACCACACATCGTCTAGACAAATCATAAGTGTACCACGATACTCCACAGTTGAAGTGTAGCCGACAGCTTGTGACTCTAAACTGATTTTATTTACTTTAACTCTCCATATTTTGCATAGCTTTAATGAACACATTGTATTCATGAATGCCACCAAAATAAACAAGATGTTGACTGGGGCAACTGAACTAAACAAGATCCACCAGGAGAAGGGGACAACCTAACTCATATATATATGAGAGAGAGAGAGAGAGAGAGAGAGAGAGATAGAGAGAGAGTATGTTTGTGTGTGTGTGTGTGTGTGAGAGAGAGAGAGAGAGGGAGAGAGATAGAGAGAACCTACCTGATTGAGGGAGACAAACTCAGCGTCCAGACCCACCAGGTCTCCTTTCTGTGGCAGCTCATCCAGGCTGAGAGGGGAGTAGGTGATCTTCCTTCTCTTGGGGTTGACTAATGAGGCATCAGCAAACAGCACATCTGAGCTGACAGGGTTCTTGACTAGAAGCATAGTATACAGCATGGTGAATAGTAAGTTAAAACTGAATACGAGGTGATGTTATCTGCTGAGGAGGTTCAATGGCATGGTGGTTTTAAATTTTCATGTGTTTTGACAACTCCTATGACCAGCTGTGGATAACACATGACAGGCAGAAAAAAAACAATTTACACCTGTTGAGAAAATTTCCAGCTATACTGGTAAATCTTTGCTGAAGCTGTGTGTGGACTCTAACTTTGTCAACAGTTTTGGATATGGTATTCTGTGTTGATCACAGGAGAAGTGACAAAATTTTCAGGAAAATTAAATTTTTGTTTGGGATCTAATCCACATAGTGTGCTTTTAAAATGGCAGTGTGTTACTTACTCTGTATGTCATAATGTTGGTTAAGATCTTTTCTTATAAAGTAGATCAGACATGGAAACTTCCACTCCAGGTTGAACTGGACTGCCTCTTGCTGGAATAAACACACATCTTGTAGGCATCACACAAATACAAATATATGATATTTCTGTAATATAACCAATATTTATATATATATAATTTTAACAATATGTGCTACATTGACAAACAGCAGTGTTTTTCTTTTTCTTTGACGATGATTAAAACTAAGTCACTTTATAAAAGTAGCTATGGAAAATGTACAGTATAAAGCATCCACTAAAATTGATCATCTTTACAAAATATGACTGAAAGTCCCTCTGTCAGACATGAAACACCGTAACAATTACTTTAATAAAATTCATTGTGTTGAAGTGTAATTAAGAATGATACAATAAATAATAATAATTGTTTCAACAAGTTACTGACCTCTTCTATGGGAGTGATGGAGAAGTCATTGAAGAGATACCACTGTGTACAAGTGACGCCCTCTTTCCTCTGGTGGTACGTCTCCCCAACCTTGACATGGCTGACCAGGTTACCTCCTGTCTTGGCATCCTTCACGTGCGCCACAGTGGCCAGCAGATCGTAATACGTGTAACCTGGCTCTGGGATAAACCTCTGGAATCAAAGGTCATAACACATGAAGTCTAGCTCTAGCACGATTTGTGGAAAAAGTCAAAAACTTGTAAAGGCCATGTTACCAAACTTGGTGTGCATATTAATAAATGTTAATTTTTTTTTTTACAATCCAGTAAAATTCATAAGTTGTCTATATGGACTTAAGATTATGGGAACAGAACCTTTTCAAATGGCCTAAAATGCTCTTAATTGACGAAACAAACATAGAACAATTTTTAGAAGTTTTCATTCAGTTTCAGTTTGTTCACCTCTTCTGTCACTTCTTGTTCCTCCACCTCCACACTGCCCTCTGGTGTCAGCCTCATTTTCAACAGAAATGGAATCCAGCCAGGTTCATCTTCAGACTTCTTTATTTCTCTGGAAGTTGTGGAAAGGGTGATAAAATATTCACTTATTTTTACTTGAAGTTGTGGAAATATGGACAAAAATATCATTCCACTATTTCCATCATTACTTAATGCATTTTCAAATAGTTAGCTATAGTAAGCACATTTGATACAATACATTTGCATCTGCCAGACACAATAGACAAGAATGGAAGTAAACGCTTGGTGAGTGGAATGTCAGCATAATGCCTCCGTGACTTCATGTTATGGAATTTAGAGCAGGGGAAGAAGCTTGAAGACAACCTGATTCAGTAAGGCACTTTTGTGAGACTATGACTGGAAGTTCAGAAATAAATTGCAATTCTCCATGCTCACATCTTATCTTTCTCTGGATCATTGTGCCAGAAGTGGCAATCCTTGCGAGTGCAGGCAGCGCCATATCTGCATGGCTTCCTCTGCATGGCAGCAGCGTAGGCGGCAGCCATTTGTAAATCTGGATTCCTGGCCTCCATTTCCTCCTGTCGTCTCTTTAATAACTGGAAATATTGACAAATATTGTTGTCATGTTTCATATAAAGGTTCTATATTATTAATACACACAAGCACAACATCTGAATCTTCTGGATAAAAAGAAAAGTGTCAAAGGAAAATAAAAATATATAAAAACAACTTTACCTGATTCTTAAAGGATACATGAATATGTGTGTGTGTGTGTGTGTGTGTGTGTGTGTGTGCACGTGCATGTATTTGCATGCACCAGTGTTTTTCTTTTGATACATCATACACAGCTGCTAAACAAACAAATGGATTTAGATAAAACAATTATCATAGTCCTGCCAATCACATAAAATAATTCTTATCATCCTGCAAATGAAATATCAATATGATGATCGCCATACCATCTTCTGGGTACTCCAAAACTCCAGATCTCTCTCATTGTCCAGTTTACAGTTCACCCCCAGGACATCTGGTAGATTCTTCAATACTTTGGTTTGGACCTAGAAAACAACATAAATCCACTGATCCTCAATCTGAACAAACTGACAAAATAAGCATTACAATTTTGCTTAAGTACCTCGTTTAATTCGATGCAATTTTGTCCGTATTCTGAAGTTTGCCTGAAGTCCTGCATTATCTGGTCCTTACTGAGCTGACATTACTTAAAATTATCTATTTTTATATTCAAGACTTTTCACAAAATTTTTGCACTATCAAATTATTCATGAGAAGTTCTTATGTAATCATCTACAAGAAGTTTTGTGTCCTTACATGAGGCTGATATCTGGAGCAGGTGTTACACCAGGCCTGTGTGTTCTGCTCTGATACCATACTGTGTCTGAGTACATCAGCAAATGTATACTGTACCAGACCTTTACCTGAATATAGAAATATAACATTACAAAATATGGCAATATTAATATATTACAGCAAATGTAATATATATATATAATTTTAAAAATTTCAACATGAAAATAAATAATACTGACAATTCTACAAAGACATTCATCATAGCTTGGTGACATTGCACAGCTAATATCAGTGTCTTGTCAATGAAACTAAAAGTCAACACAGTACGTCTGGTTTGCCACAGACCACAACACTTACTGTCATCTATCTCGGGATATGTAAGATTACACAGTGTGGACGTCCCTGCTCTGGAACTGCTGAGACCACAGCGACACTTGAATGAGCTGATCACTTCTGTGTAGAACAGCCGGCCAGGTATCGTGGTCTGAGGGGAGCTGAAAATAACGACAAATAGTAACAAATAAAACAAGCTACAATTTCCGATAGGAGTCCTTAAGACTTTATAAAAAATCTACATGATTAAGGGACTTCATAGGAATGTTATCAGATTTCCAATAGGATTTCTATCTTGGACATATGTCCTATATTACCTCACAGCCTACTCCGTGTTATGTTGTAACTTTATGCATTACAGTATTTCAGCAAGCTAACAGTTGAAATGGACCCAGAATGAAGAGGTACACCATTTCATTTTTCCAGGCTACTTGTGCAAAAAATGTCAAAAATGAATGCAATTGTAACATTTTTTAAGTTTGGTCCAAAATTCACCAATTGCCAAATTAACTAACATCTCTCCACTCCTTGTCACTTCAACTTTTTCCTCAGCTTTCTCATTTTCTTTCTCCTTCTCTTCATCTGCAGAAAGTTCTGCTGAGGGTTGTGCTTCAGTCGCCTCCTCAACTGTAGGTGTCGCCTCTGTAGTCCCTTCATCAGCTGTCTGTTCATGTTCGTGCTCCTCCTGCTGTCTCCGCTCTTCTTTCTCAATTATCTCTGCTATCTTGGTCTTGGTCTTCTGGGAGGTTTCCTGGTAGAAAACAAAGACAATTCACACTTTTGTTTTCACTAATCTATCAATTTTTTTAGACAGAGAATCAAATTTAACAAAATATTTAGTTATAAAGATATATACTATATGTTCATAGCATGTAACCTGATTTCTCTTTAGTTAATTTGAGAATATGTTCATGTGAACAGTATGTGATGAATATTGTATTTAGCATGATACTTGTATCGATTATATAAAACATGAGACAATAATCTGAAAATCAATATTTTGTTCCAACTTACAGTATGTAGCTGTTGTGCTATGAAACGACTCCAGCTTTGGATGAGACGGGAGAAGTTGGTCTTTGCGCTGGATTCTTCATTGTCGTTGAGGATAAGACCCAACGCAGAGGCTTCTGGGATTGTACGGAAAGCTCTCAGGAAATTACTCGCCTGCAATAAAATATAGAAATATATTGTTATACTGTTTTAGTTTTAGCTTTTATATTTTCAGTTAAAATTTTAGTTTTTCTAAACATCCAATTTTTTTTTATTTCAAAGCTACAGATGTCCTATACCATGCCAAACTTTGCACACATTATTATTACTATTCTCCAGATTCAGTGCCAAAAATCTGCTTTGCAAATTTTAATTTTTTCTTGTCATTTTCTTTTTTTTTAAATTTTATATTTGGATAAAAGTTTCACTTCCAAGCCCCATCATCTTGTCTTATGTACCAATCTGGCATATCTGTCTCTTCTATTTAGGTACTGTGACACACCTAATGCAATGCTATATCTCAACTAACACAATGCTGTATCTCAACCAACACAATGCTGTATCTCAACCAACCTGACATGTCTGCCCCTTCTGTTTGTCCAACATATGGAACAGAAATCCCAGCTCACAGGAGAGACAGAACTCCTTCAGACAGAGATGACTTTCCAATACACATCTCAGGGGTTCTATAAAGTACAGCACCTACAATATAAAAAATCTGTTTATACGTTTATTGTATGATCCTCCTGCACACCCCAAGAGGTGCTATAAAGTACAGCACCTACAATATAAACCATGTGTTGATAAAATTTCTAGTCTGCCATCTTGTCATTACAATTACTGAAAACAGTTTATTACCAGGCCCACTTAAGATCTGTCTCCTTCATTCTACCGTTCTTTATCAATGCCCGTTTTGTAGTGCTGAAGTAAAAGCATCCATCACTTATTGTCTCAAGCCAAGCACATCTGTACAAGCCTACAGTCCCCCCCCCAACTTGCCTGCAGCATGGCATTGCAGTAGGCATTAGGAATGTGTGTCTCCAGGCCAGCAAAGTTGGTCTTGTTGTAATGTCTGAAGTCAAAGTCCTCCCAGCCATGCTTGGAATATTTCACCTCCACCTTCTGGTAGGTCTTGGGGACAGAGACAAAGGGATCGTCACCTGACAGAAAGTAAACACTTCGTTTAATATTTGTTTATCTTTGTAAGATATAAATGTTGTTCATGGAAGTTATATTCCAAATGAAACAGTATTAAAACAGTAGAGCTGTGTGAGTAAATGAAGTGTTTGTTTTGCAAAAACTGACATGAGCACACATACACACACCTGTCACTCTATTTAGGTTCTACAAGGAATCTGTCAGAACTTTTTAGTTTATCCTAAAAATGCTGCCTGGATATAGGAAATTACAATATGACCTAAATTTGTTAACATCCTTATAGTCCACAACAAACTACAAACTTTTTATTCCAGAGTTTTGAAAGCTATCACTGGTTGTGAGCTATAAATTTATTAAAATATAATGTGTGTATACACTACCTCTTCCTAGTGGAGACTCAGGAACACTAGGTTTTCTGTGCCTGCCCTTGGTAGTGCCTGTATTGACTTTATAAGGGACCTGGTTCCGCTGTTTAATGCCAGGGTTGGGGGCGTACCCCATGTTATCTCGCGTCATGATGGAGCGCAGAATCTCGTTGTCTATATTCTGAGTTTTCCTGAAATGACATCATGAGCAGTTAGAAGTTCTATTAAACTTATGATCATAATATGAACAAAATTACTCAGTGTTTTTCAATGCAATTTCACTTTGACTTAAAATGACATTAAAATTTAAATACAACCATATGGTCTTGTTTTTAACACCAAATTATTTGCTCCGCATCTTTTCAATTACAGGTAGACATAAAGGTACAAAGTATATGTAGGATTGCATTCTCATCTGTCGAACTATTTCTCATTATTCTCCGCCATAACACTGCCTACCTGTACACGCGCTGACACAGATGTTCTGGCCAATCAGAGAGCAGTTTCTGGCTACTGTCTGGGTACGGCATTGGTATGATGGCATAGGGCGTCAACTCATCAGTGATGCTGATTGGCTGGAGAGGACGAGGCTGAAATATACAAAAATCACTGAATAACATTACTTCAATATTCAAGTCCTAAATACAGATAGATCGATAGTTGGACAGAAACATAGATAGTCCCATTCAGAAAACTGAATTTTTTTATTATCAAATAAAAATAAACTATATTCTCAAAGACCAACACCTATTGTACATTTACAGAGTAATAGGCATAATTAATGAATTCAAATACTTTTGGCAAAATAAATAATTTTAAGTGAAATATGTCTGGATATGATAAAACAGTTTTATCTAAAACATTCAGTTTTGTGAGGAGAATTCTTGTACAGTTAATATTGACAATGTGTTGTATAATCAGTACAGTGTATTTGAGGAGACCTAACTTTGATCAAAGTTGAGCTCACAAGTTCTATTAGTTGAGCTCTAGAAGCTATTTATTGAAATACAGCTTGCTTTAGTTGAAATACAGCACTGTGTTACTGTTAGTTGAGATATAGCATTGTGTTAGCTGAGATATACCATTGTGTTAGTTGAGATATACCATTGTGTTAGTTGAGATATACCATTGTGTTAGTTGAGATATACCATTGTGTTAGTTGAGATATACCATTGTGTTAGTTGAGATACAGAGCATTTCATTAGGTGTACCTGATCAGCAAACTCTGTGGGTCTGGAGAAGGTGTTGTACACTGCATGTTCTCCTGTAGCATACAGGTGTAAAATACCTGGAACAGAGTCCAATCTTATCATCACTTCACTGAGCTGACCATATCTCTAATTATGCATTATACACTAAATGATAAGAATTATATACAAGTACTTTATGAGAGGGTATAATAAATTTTCCCAGAGCAGTCCAAAATCAACTGAGAGAAAATGAGAGAGAGAGAGAGAAAGAGAGAGAAAGAGAGAGAAAATTTTCCCAGAGCAGTCTAAAATCAACTGAGAGAAAATGAGAGAGAGAGAGAGAGAGAGAGAGGGAAGAAGGAGGGGTAGTAGTACATACCGGCACTGTCACCAAATGCCATAGTCTGGCAGGAGGTGGAGACATCAAAGGCCATGATGCCAGCGCCCTCTGTGTGGACCTGGTACATAAACAGGGAGGCTGGTGTAACAGCACCTGTGTCTGTTAGCTGGAACTGGCCTGCCTGGAAGACAGAATAGCAATCAAAGTTAGGCTGGAGAGAGAGAGAGAGAGAGAGAGAAGTAGATATTAGCACAGGACTTTAGCACAGGACTTTTTTCCTTTTTGGAAAATATTTTATACGACTTAGGAGATAAAACAGTATCTGGCAGTAATGGCTGAGAATTTGAAAGACTTTTAAAACAGCATGCTTTTCCGATAATTTAACTTATTTTAAAAGGTATTTTTCAATCTTTCTCCCAATCACAAAACTGACTCCTATCTGCTTCATTTGATTTAGTCGGAACACTCATAGTAAATTTTTTATTAAGCTCTCAAAGCAACAACCTAAAGAAAATTCACAACAAGGCAGCAAAGCTGTCAAATGTACAGACAAAAAGCANGTTATGGAGTAAATGAAGTGTTTGTGAGCTATAAATTTATTAAAATATAATGTGTGTATACACTACCTCTTCCTAGTGGAGACTCAGGAACACTAGGTTTTCTGTGCCTGCCCTTGGTAGTGCCTGTATTGACTTTATAAGGGACCTGGTTCCGCTGTTTTATACCAGGGTTGGGGGCGTACCCCATGTTATCTCGCGTCATGATGGAGCGCAGAATCTCGTTGTCTATATTCTGAGTTTTCCTGAAATGACATCATGAGCAGTTAGAAGTTCTATTAAACTTATGATCATAATATGAACAAAATTACTCAGTGTTTTTCAATGCAATTTCACTTTGACTTAAAATGACATTAAAATTTAAATACAACCATATGGTCTTGTTTTTAACACCAAATTATTTGCTCAACATCTTTTCACCTACAGGTGGACATAAAGGTACAAAGTATATGTAAGATTGCATTCTCATCTGTCAAATTTTTTCTCATTATTCTCCGCAATAACACTGCCTACCTGTAGACGCGCTGACACAGATGTTCTGGCCAATCAGAGAGCAGTTTCTGGCTACTGTCTGGGTACGGCATTGGTATGATGGCGTAGGGCGTCAACTCATCAGTGATGCTGATTGGCTGGAGAGGACGAGGCTGAAATAAACACATATCACTGAATAACATTAACATGTTTACTTTCCTTAATCATTTACATAATCCTGCAAGTCTTAAATAATTACATACCTAGCTGCATTCATAATATCAAATGTTTTAAAACCAAAACAAACTATATTCCCAAAGATCAACATCCACTGTACATTTACAGAGTAATAGGCATAATTAATGAATTCCAATACTTTTGGCAAAATAAATAATTTAGAGTGAAATATTTCAGGATATGTTGAAACAATTTTACCTAAAACATTTTGTTTGATGAGAAGAATTCTTGTACAGTTAATCTTGACAACGTTCAGTATAATCAATACAGTGTATCTGACGAGACTTTTTTTATCTAGGCTGAGCTCACAAATTCTATTAGTTGAGCTCCAGAAGTGGTTTATTGAAATGCAGCACTCCTAGATGAGATACAGCATAGTGTTAGTTGAGATAGCAATGTTTTAGTTGAGATACAGCATTGTGTTAGTTGAGATAGCAATGTTTTAGTTGAGATACAGCATTATGTTAGTTGAGATAGCATATTGTGTTAGTTGACATAGCACATTGTATTAGTTGAGATAGTGCATTGTGTTAGTTGACATAGCGCACTGTGTTAATTGAGATACAGCATTGTGTTAACTGAGATATTGCATTGTGTTCGTTGAGATAGTGCACTGTGTTAGTTGAGATATAGAGCATTGCATTAGGTGTACCTGATCAGCAAACTCTGTGGGTCTGGAGAAGGTGTTGTACACAGCATGTTCTCCTGTAGCATACAGGTGTAAAATACCTGGAACAGAGTCCAATCTTATCATCACTTTACTGAGCTGACTTTATCTCTTATTATGCATTATACATTATATGATAAGAATTATATACAAGTACTTTATGAGTAGGCATAATAAATTTTCCCAGAGCAGTCCAAAAGCAACTGAGAGAAATTTAGAGGAGAGAGAGAGAGAAAGAGAAAGAGAGAGGGTCAGGGAAGAAGGAGGGGTAGTAGCACATACCTGCGCTGTCACCAAACGCCATGGTCTGGCAGGAGGTGGAGACGTCAAAGGCCATGATGCCAGCGCCCTCTGTGTGGACCTGGTACATGAACAGGGAGGCTGGCGTAACAGCGCCTGTGTCTGTTAGCTGGAACTGGCCTGCCTGGAAGACAGAATAGCAATCAAAGTTAGGCTGGAGAGAGAGAGAGAGAGAGAGAGAGAGAGAGAGAGAGAGAGAGAGAGAGAGAGAGAAGCAGATATTAGCATAGGACTTTTTTCCTTTTTGGAAAATATTTTATATGACTTAGAGATAAAACAGTATCTGGCAGTATTGGTTGGGAATTTGAAAGACTTTTAAAAAAGCAAGCTTTTCCCATAATTTAACTTATTTTCAAAGGTAATTTTCAATCTTTCTCCCAATCACAAAACTGACTCCTATCTGCTTCATTTGATTTAGTCTCAACACTCATAGTAAATTTTTTATTAAGCTCTAAAAGCAAAAACCTAAAGAAATTTCACAAAAATACAGTTTAAAATGTATCAGTTTATACCAGAAAGTTTTACTAAACACCAAAACTTACTTGAGAAATGACAGCGATTCTGGTGGAGTACGTCGGCATAAACCTGAGGAACATGGGGTCTATCATCAGCTGTATTGGGGTCACCGCACGCAGCATGCGCAGGTCGTACACTTTCAGGAAACGATCCACAGCCATGTTACCCATGTTGTTCCTGGATGAAAAGTGAGCAGATTCAGTAACTCTTCTTTTAATTTAATAAGATCTACTGAAAACTGTTAAGTAATGAGACCTATCATTTCACCAGCAGAGCACACTGATAGTCAGCACCAGCTCACCCAACACATTCTCAGCTGACACATTCAAAGCTAACTCATTTACATCTTACTCATTCAAACCTTACACAATCACATCTAACACATTCTCATCTAACATTCACATCTAACTCATTCACAGCTAACACATTCACATCTAACACATCCTCAGCTAACACATTCACAACACACACATTCTCATCTAACACACTGTCACAAATGCCTGCCTAGTGCTACCTGCTGGTGAATCCACAGGTGATCAGCAGGTTTTCATGTACATCCATATCAGAGAGTGTTCCAGTGTGAGCCTCTAACACATGCTCCGACTTCAGTGTGCGGGGGTCTCTGAGGGTCACCTGTGTGGAGAGGGTACATAGAGACTTCATATCATTATAATATTAACTGGGTCACCTGTGGGGAAAGCGTATATAAAGACTTCATATAATTAACATATTAACTGTCTTTACCATGCATATGTCTTCTGGCTCAAATTTCACAATTTTGGGATCTTTCCAGGTTTTGTTTGTCAAAGAAATATGTAACAGAGCACTGACCTCTAGGAGCGCTGACAAATATTTAGAGCCTCTGTGTGTAAAAGGAAAGAACTACAATCATTAAAATAAATCTTTTATCATAGTTTCTTACCTTGCCACTGGTGTCGCCACTGAACAGGTACTTGTTGGTCTGCCTCATTATGGCACATCCGGCTTCTTCTACATCAACCTAGGGAATATTATAGACCACATCTCTTTTACTTTATAATACACAGTCAGTACATATCCAGCCTCCTCTACATCAACCTAATTATACAGTGTAGCTCTCATTATATACCACATCCTTTATACCTTACAATACACAATCATAGTTCTGTAGACATCTCTGGGAAATAGTTTGATTTCAAATCTATGCCATGTGTCTGTTATAACTAGTTTGTAAAACACACAAATAACTGTATCTACTTTGATAATGAATACCGTACACAAATATCTCAACATATTTAAATACATCACACAAATGGCTATTTCTTATATTTCAGTTTTTTTGTGCATTTCTAAGTATTATCTAAAGCGACAATCAGTGTCACACCTCACATGATCACTTTGTAGCACAATCTCACCTACCACATTCTCATCCATCACAATCTCACCTACCACATTCACACTTTCCTTATTCCTTTTTGTGTATGACCACACAGTACACTGTACAGTAAAATAAACTGATGTGTGGTCCAGGCATATCTGTGACCAGTGGTCCTAACTCTCACCTCTTTGACCACCTGGACACTGTTCAGGTCCAGTTCCAGCATCTTGGTCTGGTGACCTCCCAGAAGTAGCTTATCTCCACCTGTCTGCAGCATACACTGCATGTCCTGTAACCTCTCATCTCTAGAATACAGAACACAATGTATAGCACAACTAACACAATCTACATCATACACTGCATGTCCTCTGAAATACAGAACACAATGTATGGCACAACTAACACAATCTACAGCATACACTGCATGTCCTGTAACCTTTCATCTCTGGAATACAGAACACAATGTATAGCACAACTAACACAATCTACAGCATACACTGCATGTCCTGTAACCTTTCATCTCTGGAATACAGAACACAATGTATGGAACAACTTACACAATCTACAGCGCAACTCACACCCTTTTTTTTCAATTAACAGTATTCTCTTATTTTTCTGTGTAATATAATGCGGGCCATTTTCTATACACAATATTTGTCTGAATATAATGTTAATGTCTGCAAATATTCAACTTAACCTATAGATAGCATCAGTCAATTTCACTTGCTCTATGGATTTAACTCTCAACAGTTATGAATGACCAGAAAACTATCTTTACATCTTATTTCACTATTCCACTGTGTGAAAAAAAAGTGTTCACTTTTTCACATATATTGATTTCAGCAATCAAAATTTCTAAAAAGCTGTGCCTATTCTAAACCTTACCCATAGTCAAACAGTGTCCTCCCAAACCTGTGAGAACACCTCAGATGGTTCCTCATCAGAGAGAGGACGCCCGTGTCCAGAGTGAGGAGCTGCCTCACATCAAACCTGGCATCCACTTGGAATGATGTGTACTTCTGCATGCCCTGGCCATAGTATGATGTCACATGACCCTGAAGTGGAGAAGCAAGAACAGACTTAACAATAAACATCGGTATGTGAGATCATTTTATAAAGCTATTATAACAGAGTAAAGGCTCTGATACTTCCATAAGGTAGGATAAATCTTATGCTAGACTTACAAGCATGAAAAGGTCTACTCTAAATTGGAGTTGGATGCATGTTCTTTGCCATTTCTGAAACTGAATCAACTAAGGGAGAAAAAAGAGTAACTTTTTCAGAAAAAAAAAACCCTTGGTAAATTTCTGGCTACAGGCTTGTATAACATCTGACCATTACATGTCTGTGGTGATTTTTAAGACTGTGACAGCTGTCGGAATAACTGGCACCCACCCCTTGGTTACCCATCCACAGCAGCTCTTCCTGGCCATCAAACGCCACAGCTGACACTCCAAAATGGCTGCCACCGTCCACCAAGATGCTGTGGAACTCCTTGTATTCATGCTCCATGCTGCCTGGCAACTGGTCACCATAGAGACCCAAGTCTCCCTGGAGACTGCTGTCATGGTAACCTTCAACTGCAGTCTCAGCAGGGGGAAGGTCTCCTGGTGGAATAGTGGGGTGAAACTCCATCCCCACCCTGAGGGAAGACAGGGAAGAGGCTGTTATAACCAATTCACATTCATAATGAGCACAAGTATTTTTTGCTCTGCAGAGCAATTAATATTGTAAAATCTGTTAAATCAGACAGATAGACAATTGCTCAAATGCTTATATTTTTTTGTTTGGTTGGTTGGTTAAAATACATATGTAAAAGTAAATGTCTTGGTTCTGTGTTTTCACAGTGAAACCATGCCGGTAATTTTAAATATATATGTCGTAAGTATTGATGTAACTTAGTGCCGATCCCCATTTCCACATCATGTTAGCATTGTTTCAGTGTCTTTTTGAGTTTTCATCAACAAGACTATATTGTACTGCCACCACAGTGTAAATGACCATGACTTCTAGTTGGTAAGTGAATACACATGTAACTTGTAAGGGCAAGTCACAGTGATTTTTTCCGATTTTTTTCTGTACAATTAATTCATTATATCGGGATTTTGTCCATTATGGTGGTCTCTTGTACCATATTAAAAGTTCTACGTGGTTTTAGAATCATCAACAGATCACGGCGAGCCCCTGCCTGAGTAAGTGCGTCAGTGACTACTGTCTCTCGCCATCGAGGATAAATCGACCTCACATGTCAAATAAAAACTCACAATGCAAAACTATTGGGGCAGTTATAAAACCAAATATCTTTTTAACAAATACATAAATGCATTTCAACTCACGGCGAGATAAGATCAGAGAGCAACGGTTCGAATTCGGCAATGTTTTTGTTTAAACTGATCCATGAAAATCACCTCTCCATAACTAGGTCACGTTTATGAATCTCTAAAAGCAGGAGAGCAAGACATGACGGTCTCATTACTACAGTAAGCACATGTGTATAACCAGTACTCTGCCGACTGCCTTACCGCAAAAAGCGCTAAAGGGGAATCGGTGATCTATCTATCTATCTATCTATCTATCTATCAATTTATTTTTTACTATACAAAGGTCTAACTGACTTTAAGTGTCTTTTACATCCATGTATTTATTTATTCATTTGTCTCTATTTCTAAATTAAGGTCCTTTCATCTAGAAAGAAAATTCGCTCCATCAATGCGGCGCCCACAACAGATGCATATCTGGTTGAAATTTCTTTGAAAAGAGCCACCAGGATAAAATGATAGGCTTATTTTTTTGCGAGGCACATTTGATTGATGAGTAATACGTGATTTTCGTTAGGTGTCTGACATAAAGCTTCTATATAACTTACACGCGTAGGCCTATAACACAAATATGCTCGATTATAATTAACGTTATAGGGGACGTTCACGAGACATTGGGGGCCTACTCATTTTTGTGTCTCTTATCTTGAACCAATTACACATGTACAATAATGGGTTCAAGCTCTTATAAAATTTTTAATTCAATTCAATTTTCAATTAATAATTCTGTACTGCAACATAAATTATCATGACCTCTTACAATATAGGCCTAATATAATACCAACAATGCAATTGGTGCATTACCATTCTCTAATTAATAACTAAAAGCAGATTATAGTTTTATATACCGGGTACATGACTTCAATCGTTTTGATCATGCTAACATTCAGGGGTTCTTCCTGCCGCCAGGTCATTTCGTTTTTCCCATCCTTGTGGAATCCTGCACCAATTCCACATTGTATAATCATAATAATCAACATGTTTTATCTAATTTGCCTCTGTCCTGCATACATGCCACACTCATACTCTCTGATAAAAAAAGCGAGAATTCTTGGCTACTTAAGTTTTGTATCAGAATTTTTCATTTTTGTAAATTTTCTAGATGTATATCATTGGTATCAGAGGGTACTCTTCCACGTTCTCTGATCATCATCCGCCGTCAAGGTATCTGCATGTTTCGGCACAACCTACTGATAAGTGTAATTTGCGTAATTGCTCATATCTATACCTTAGCATATATTAGCATATATTAGGACCATGTGACCTTGGCGACCCTCCGTGGACATCGTTTACATGCTGAGCAGCGACACCAGGACGAGGAATAACACGCAGAGTTTGTGGAACTACTATGTACTGATACTAACAAAACAGCAATTCAAGGTAAGACCTTTAAATATTTTTGAAATATTTCTTTGTTTCCCTCTCAACCCCAACAATTCTATTCCATCTACCATTTTCTGTAGGCTAACCTTTCATATGCCCTCTTTGTTTCAATTTTCATGTATTTAATCATTGTCTCGTTGATGGGTGCATGCCATTACCATGGCCCGCCTTTTGTGATAGCGTAACCTTTACACGTAGCAACCCTTCAGACGTAGCATACCATTCCACTACTGGAGCCTCTAAGTACGTGCGACATTTTCAAAGTCTGGATGGGTTGAAATTAACGATTGTGGGGATACTTTTAAATTTGGTTTTAATTAATTTTCTTTTTCACTCTATGTAATTTTATGTATCTCACTATATTCCACCTTGTTTTATGTTATTTATTTTTTTCAAGGGTGTAACTAGTCACACCTACGAACTTATGCACTGTGTGTACATTTTTCAGGCCGACCATGATTTTATATTCTCAACATTTAGTATATTTTACATAGAATATAATAGCAAATCCTCTTCGATTGTAAGTTTAAGTCTCCTGTGTGTGCAAACGTGTAAATAATATACGCCCCAGTGTTCTGACACCCCGTCTCGCTTGCCTTCATAGGCAAATAATGCTAGTTACCTTTAAAAGTCTTATCTTAATCGTCCATCTGACTGGAACTTCCTGTACTTCTTAATTGGAGGGTAAGTGCCCTTTAACTCCCAGGTAGCCTTTGTCTTGAATGCAACGAACGCACGGTCGCTGGCAATATTTATCTCAGGTAAAAATCTGCCAGTGCGTTATTGTAAAAGAGCAGCTCCAGCAGACCTGGGGGCACTAGTGAGTAGATAAAAATAT